TACACATTATCCGTCCTATAGCCATGTAATTATCTGGAAAGTTTAAAGAAAATCTATCGGTCAGATCTTGATAAAATTGAAAATATATTATAAGTTATTCACTAAAACACTCGATTTTCGACCAATCCATATTATGGTACAGTTTTGTCGTGTTTGAAGTCATATATCAAGTTTGGCACATAGAAATTCGCCCAAACTTGCACGGATTATCCGTCTTATAGCCATGTAACTATCTAGAAAGTTTAATGAAAATCTATCGGTTAGATCTCGAAATATATGCCTGTGTTCCGTTAGAAACCGCCAATTTGGAGATATTTTCTTGTGTTTGAAGTCGTATCTCAAGTTTGGCACATAGAATTTCTCCAAAACTCTCACACATTATCTGCCATATAACCATGTAACTATCTCAAAAGTTTAAAGAAAATCTATCGGTCAGATCTTGATAAAATTGAAAATATATTATAAGTTATTCACTAAAACACTCGATTTTCGACCAATCCATATTATGGTACAGTTTTGTCGTGTTTGAAGTCATATATCAAGTTTGGCACATAGAAATTCGCCCAAACTTGCACGGATTATCCGTCTTATAGCCATGTAACTATCTGGAAAGTTTAATGAAAATCTATCGGTTAGATCTCGAAATATATGCCTGTGTTCCGTTAGAAACCGCCAATTTGGAGATATTTTCTTGTGTTTGAAGTCGTATCTCAAGTTTGGCACATAGAATTTCTCCAAAACTCTCACACATTATCTGCCATATAACCATGTAACTATCTCAAAAGTTTAAAGAAAATCTATTGGTCAGATCTTGAGAAAATTTAAAATATATTCTAAGTTATTCACTAAAACACTCGATTTTCGATCAATCCATATTATGGTACAGTTTTCTTGTGTTTGAAGTCATATCTCAAGTTTGGCACATAGAAATTCTCCCAAACTCGTACACATTATCCGTCATATAGCCATGTAATTATCTGGAAAGTTTAAAGAAAATCTATCAGTCAGATCTTGAAATATATTCCTGTGTTCCGCCTAAACCGCCAATTTGGAGATATTTTCTTGTGTTTGAAGTCATATCTCAAGTGTGGCAAATAGAAATTCTCCAAAACTCTCACACATTATCTGCCATATAACCATGTAACTATCTCAAAAGTTTAAAGATAATCTATTGGTCAGATCTTGAGAAAATTTAAAATATATTATAAGTTATTCACTAAAACACTCGATTTTCGACCAATCCATATTATGGTACAGTTTTGTCGTGTTTGAAGTCATATATCAAGTTTGGCACATAGAAATTCGCCCAAACTTGCACGGATTATCCGTCTTATAGCCATGTAACTATCTGGAAAGTTTAATGAAAATCTATCGGTTAGATCTCGAAATATATGCCTGTGTTCCGTTAGAAACCGCCAATTTGGAGATATTTTCTTGTGTTTGAAGTCATATCTCAAGTTTGGCACATAGAATTTCTCCAAAACTCTCACACATTATCTGCCATATAACCATGTAACTATCTCAAAAGTTTAAAGAAAATCTATTGGTCAGACCTTGAGAAAATTTAAAATATATTCTAAGTTATTCACTAAAACACTCGATTTTCGACCAATCCATATTATGGTACAGTTTTCTTGTGTTTGAAGTCATATCTCAAGTTTGGCACATAGAAATTCTCCCAAACTCGTACACATTATCCGTCATATAGCCATGTAATTATCTGGAAAGTTCAAAGAAAATCTATCAGTCAGATCTTGAAATATATTCCTGTGTTCCGCCTAAACCGCCAATTTGGAGATATTTTCTTGTGTTTGAAGTCATATCTCAAGTGCGGCAAATAGAAATTCTCCAAAACTCTCACACATTATCTGCCATATAACCATGTAACTATCTCAAAAGTTTAAAGAAAATCTATTGGTCAGATCTTGAGAAAATTTAAAATATATTCTAAGTTATTCACTAAAACACTCGATTTTCGACCAATCCATATTATGGTACAGTTTTGTCGTGTTTGGAGTCATATATCAAGTTTGGCACATAGAAATTCGCCCAAACTTGCACGGATTATCCGTCTTATAGCCATGTAACTATCTAGAAAGTTTAATGAAAATCTATCGGTTAGATCTCGAAATATATGCCTGTGTTCCGTTAGAAACCGCCAATTTGGAGATATTTTCTTGTGTTTGAAGTCGTATCTCAAGTTTGGCACATAGAATTTCTCCAAAACTCTCACACATTATCTGCCATATAACCATGTAACTATCTCAAAAGTTTAAAGAAAATCTATCGGTCAGATCTTGATAAAATTGAAAATATATTATAAGTTATTCACTAAAACACTCGATTTTCGACCAATCCATATTATGGTACAGTTTTCTTGTGTTTGAAGTCATATCTCAAGGTTGGCACATAGAAATTCTCCCAAACTCGTACACATTATCCGTCATATAGCCATGTAATTATCTGGAAAGTTTAAAGAAAATCTATCAGTCAGATCTCGAAATATATGCCTGTGTTCCGTTAGAAACCGCCAATTTGGAGATATTTTCTTGTGTTTGAAGTCATATCTCAAGTTTGGAACATAGAAATTCTCCCAAACTCGTACACATTATCCGTCCTATAGCCATGTAATTATCTGGAAAGTTTAAAGAAAATCTATCAGTCAGATCTTGAAATATATGCCTGATTTCCGTTAGAAACCGCCAATTTGGAGATATTTTCTTGTGTTTGAAGTCATATCTCTAGTTTGGCACATAGAATTTCTCCAAAACTCTCACACATTATCCGCCATATAACCATGTAACTATTTCAAAAGTTTTAAGAAAATCTATCGGTCATATCTTGATAAAATTGAAAATATATTATAAGTTATTCACTAAAACACTCGATTTTCGACCAATCCATATTATGGTACAGTTTTGTCGAAAGTCTGAATTTCGGTAACAAATAAGGATTTAATTTGAGTTTACTGCACGCGCGATGAATAATTGGTGCTTATAGAGATCTGCGGCGTGTTATCAGGTTAACCAATGAAATTACGGTGTTTTCGTCACGTGACAGTCGAGTGTAGAGTGATTAATTATCATCCATTGATATAATCAAACTTGAGACAGTAAACTAGTTAAATATTTATACACTAGGCATAATTATTATCCACAGGATTATCCAATTATTATACAAAAGGCTGTAAAATTAAAACGAACACTCGAAATATTTATAAAATATGCATTGTTTAATTTGCTAGTTTATTGCTCGCTTCTAGCTCTCGCGCATAGGAAGCTTGAAAAGAGCGCCGCGAACAGGGATTGGCGAGCCAAGTAATGTATGCAATGTATTGACGGATGTTACTCGTATAAATTTCTTCGAAGTAGCGCGCGCCGCTTTCTTGACCGATGGCAAGTGTTACGAAGTAGCGCGCGCCGGGCCAGACCATCAACAATGGTCAATGCAATGTTATACTGCGCGCCGCTCATGACAATATTCTTTCTCCATTCTCGCTACCACGTTCACCTAACCATGGCCATTGGTTTGTAGCGCAATGCGTTACTGTGCCGCTAGATCGGCGAGATGCGCTACTGTGCCGCGCCGAGCTGCCATGAATTGACATCGTCAATTAAGCCATTGGTATTTTCGTACTACAGGACGAAATTGTTTTACGTCGTACGTGTTTTTTGCCGCCCTCGGCGCAAGGGCCCTGATTATTGTAGGTTTACAACCTACCAGGACGCGCGCCGAGTCAATATATGGAACTGATATTTTACGAGTATCACCCGTTAACCTGATTAGAGTAACTACCAATTAGTAAAGCTACATCAAATGTATATGAAGCGAATGTAAAGCTACAAACTAAAATTGATAATTGATTGATATATCTAATCAATCAAAATTAATTAATTAACCAAAGTATTCTGTACAGTAAAAATATCAGTGAAATGTAATTCTAATTTTATATATTATTATTATATGCATTGGAAATATTTGCAAAGATGAGTAATTATAATTTGTTTGTGTAATTAACTTGGGAACCCCGGCGACTAGTGCATTAATATTTTGTTGCATGCAATGATAGACCAATAAATTGAGCGCTGATGCAGTGAAAAGTGTATTTTGTTTCAATAATGACTTATTTAATTTAATTTTGTACTAAAATTCGTTTTCGTTAATTGTTTTCATCCAACTAACTTTTCTTTAGTTTCGTTCCTCATAATAAATTAGTTCCCCCTTCTCTTCATTTTACTCAAATCTTTGTGATACTTCTCAAACTTGGCATAATGGAGTCTTTGTTCAAAATTCTGAATGTGATCGAAAGTAGCTTGCAATTTACAATTTTTACACAACAGCTATCTGTATCTGTAGAGTTGACAGTATTCAAACTTGTATCATATGATAGGTTATAAGTACACTTCATCTTAGGAGTACTGAAGGGTACCTTTGCAAGATATTACTGCAGGACATTGCATAGACTTTATTTTCGGTGGATAACGTCCACTAAAGGGTGCCTCAATCACGCATTTTCCAATCATTCTGCTGATTTGGCTGTAGAGATTGAATCGACGTCCCTAGTGCAACCCTTGTGATTGATGGCACAAGTGGGTCTCGAGCAGGCATCTTTTGGCATAGAAGGAGGGAGGGATCTGAAATGGCCTTGCATCAGATGGTTATAAAATCAACATCTATTCAATTTCATGGTATATAAAACATGGTAACCAACTGTTGCAGGGTTGGAAGGGTTTGTAAGGTTTAACACATATTTATGATGGTTTTTGTGTCTAGGTAGTGGAAAATTGCTGTTTCACCCCAACTGTGATCAACGAGAATATTTGAGAGCAGTCTTGGGCTAAGATTGAGCAATAGTGACAACATTAATGTATGTCCAATTTGTTCACCAAAGCTCTAGATGCAGGGTGCAGCCCATGTCCTGATGTGCAAGGGCTATTACAAGTTGTTTCGACATATCCTAACAAAATCATATATTTAGGTGTTCAAATATGTTTGTCGAATTTCTGCCATTTCTTTGCTTATAAGTCTGCAAGATCAGTGGTTCGTTGGTTTTGAAGTGCTCCCTTTGTTCCCAAGAAAAGTATGTGGAGTGGTGTCCCACATTTCATACTGACTGATATCTTCTCACATTTACCCCTGGTTGATATTGGCCAATGTCTTGTCGTGTGTCAGAACTGGTACAACATTTTACAAGGTAATACATACTGGTTTTTGCTATAATCAATCTCAATCATTTAGTATCTTAAGCTTGCTCATTTATAAACAAATTACTGAAAAAAATTCAGATTTGAAACGTACCATTTAAATTTCAGATGAATTCCATTGGAAAAACAGAATCAGCAATGACTGGGGAGTCACATCACTAAAGCAAAACATTCCTTGCTCCTGGTTTTCAGAATATAAACGCTTGCATTGCATGCATTCCAAAAGATCTTCAACACCTTGGGCAACGTTAACTGTTCATGAAGATGAAGTTCTTCATGTTACAATGTCTCACTGTGGTCATTACATCAGTACTTCATCAAAAGATAAAAGTGTGATAATTTGGAAAATGAGCGAGTACAGTGCTCAAAGTATTGCTATGTTTAAAAGAATTTATTTCCCATCATGGGATGCAGTGTTCCAATCACTTTTTAATGATCAAGATTCTTTATTGCTTGTATCTGGAGTAGCTCAAGAGCCTTACGTGGGCGAGGTAATGATTTATAGTTTTCCTAAATGTAAGCACATTAAAACTGTGAATTGCATGCCATATGACAGTTTTGGTTCATGGCTTGGGAATACATTCTTTATTGTTGGGGATTTTGATGAAATGTCATACTCTGCTGTTGTGACTATGCACTCAGTATTTGACAATGTTTCTCCCAAGTATGTCTATACAGACCCAAATTCAAATCCAGCATATCCTTATCATTGCAAAGCATTTGAAACATGCAATCACAGAAGTAACCCTAATGAAAAGTTTTTATTTTATGCATGCTCACAATCAACAGTGGTTGCTCATTCATTGGCTGTGGCTGTTTTTACTGGCATTATGGACTCCAATTCAGAGTTTGAACGAGATGGGCTATTGCCTTTCATAGAGGATAGTGAAGATGAAAACTTTAATAGAAGAGCATTTCTGAAGAAACAAAAAACCCGAGAGCCATCTGATTATACTGGTACTTTTAAAAACGTTGTTGAGTTAAAGGCAGCTGTCATAGGCATCAATGCAAACGAAAATCTTGAGAAAGTGTTTGTTAACTGTAGATCCTGGCTGTCTGAAGACAATCCCAGTGAGATTTCAATGGATATTCAGTTGCGAATCTTTGACTTTGACCTAAATTTGTTGAGAACAATTACCAAGGCAGAGGCAATCACTCCCAGCCATAAATTTTTCTTAATACACATATCAAGCTCAGAATGGTATACTATCAGTGGTGATGAGAAAGGGAAGATCCATATCTTTGACAGCAATTACAACATCCACGTGTGTACATTGTCAGGACACTCAGATGTTGTGAACTGTGCTGTGATTTCTCCAATTAACCCTCATTTTATTTGTTCTGTTTCTGATGATCATACTGTAATGTTTTGGGATATGAATCGGGCCAAAAGGCAATCCAAGGTAGGTTAAATAATACTAGATTCGTTCCAAATGAGATATCTAGTAAAGAAATATGTTTCAGTACTCTAGAAAGTTTTGGTTGTAGCTATCGGATATTCAGTGCTTATGCTTTCCAAGTATTTAATGATCATTGATCATGAAAAGATTATCGGACTATTCAATTTGATGTATGGAGATTTCTAGTTTCAATGCAAATACAGCATGATTTTAGACTTTCTTTAAGCTATGATTATTTTTACTTGGATGAAAAATAAAATGAAATGCATCTGAACCATGTAATTTCAAGTATATTAATAGCATCAGGGAATGCTTACTTTCAAGTTTTTGTTTGGTTATGTGCCTCAATTATGTTATTTTATTTTGTGTTGAATCAAATAAACTTATTATTAAGATCAATTGTACATTATTTCAAGTTTCAATTTTTACCTTGACCACTACCCTTGTGTTCTCTTTGTATACTTTCTAAAATTGGTGGATCTGTAGTCTGTATGATTCCAGTATGACGTCTGGGCCTCAATTAACCAGATTTTTAATTTGATAATTCACTTGCTTTGATCAGATCCCCTCAGCATTTATAAACTATGAAAACCTGATGTCATTCGTAATTCACTGTAAATTACTGAATGTTTGCTGCCAAACGCCACTGATAACGATAGAGTAACTATGTAATCATAAAATTGCGCAGTTTTGTCCTGAAAACATACTTTTCTGCTGACTACAAATCTTAAGATATAATGATTGAGCGGAATGAAGGAACTGCTTTCAATGCAGACTGGATTGAGAACATCAACATCAATTACCCTGCGGTAGTGAGAGCTGCTAATGAGTTTAAAGGCAGGAGAGTCCTAAAGAAAGAACACCAGGCTGCTTGGCTTGTAAAAGCTGTCACTCTCATTGATCTCACCACGCTCGCCGGAGATGACACTTACTGCAATGTTGACAGGTTTTTTATACTGTACTTGGCATATCTTTGATGTCAATGAAACATTTCATTTACTATTATTCGACTGACTTTTAATTGTTGCTTTTTCCGATCTATGTCGCCAGCATTTCAGTAAAATCTTTAATTTTAGGCTGTGTACCTATGCAAAGAATCCGCTACGAAAAGAAATCATGAAGCAGCTAGGGTTTGACAGTTTAACCGTTGGAGCAGTTTGTGTGTATCCTAACAGGGTCGAAGATGCCTGCAAGGTCCTCAAGAAGTTAAATTGCAAAATTGGTGTTGCTTCTGTTGCTGCTGGCTTTCCCGAGGTAACTGCAATTTCTTGCTGCCTAATAAAGTAATAATACAGTTTTAGCGTTAGTTTTTTTTTCTAATACTTAAGAATATCCATAATTCAACAAGTACCTCTACCTCATCCTATTTCAGGGTCAGACCCCCATGGAGACACGTGTAAGAGAGGTGGAACTTGCCGTTGCAGCGGGTGCTTCGGAGATTGACATCGTTATAAACCGAACATTGGTTTTGGAAGGACGTTGGCAGCAGCTTTATGACGAGGTCTTTTGGCCTATTATATTATTTCTTCTAGATAAATAATCTCCAATATGATCTGCTGTATGTTGAATGATTGAAATTTAAATTTTAGACCGTAAGCTAGTGATGAATATCTTAATTTGCTTTATCTCAGGTAAAAGCGTGCCGAAAAGCTTGCGGAGAGGCCCACCTGAAGACAATCATTGCTACAGGACATCTCGGAGATTTTGAGAATGTATACAAGTACGTTATTACTTATAGTTAGTGATGGAAAATAGTATTAAAAATAGTAAAATACTTATCCTAAAGTTCAACCTAAGTTAAAATCTAATCTATTCTTTACTTAACTTAGTCTCTACAGTTATAATTTGAACTATAACTTCGTTTGGACGTTATCACTAGCATCCCTCTTGTAGCTAATAATATTAACATACATTTCAGAGCATCCATGATAAGCATGATGGCTGGAAGCGACTTTATCAAGACATCCACTGGTAAGGAGTCAGTAAACGCCACGTTCCCCGTCGCCATGGTCATGATCCGTGCTATCAGGGATTATTTGGAGTACACCGGGTTTAAAGTTGGATTCAAACCTGCTGGTAAGTCGAGAACTTATCCGTCAGCCCATAGTTATTATCCCAGTTACTTGGACTTTTTAATTCAAAAGATTAAACTCTCACTGTTAGTAGTAAGTAGATTGTCTGGTATAACCCATATCCTCCTCTCTACCAGGTGGTATCAGAACAGCTAAAGACAGTCTGCAATGGCTGACCCTGATGAAGGAGGAGCTAGGGGATGAGTGGGTTCAGCCCCACCTCTTCAGGATGGGAGCCAGCTCACTGCTGGGGGATATAGAGAGGCAGCTGTACCATTATTGTACTGGACGCTATGCTAGCAGTACCTACGATATTGCTATGTGAAACGTTTTTAATACATATTTAAGTTTACTTTTACAATTATTAATCTAATATATATGGTGCAGTGTGCACGAAATAATTTTTATTACGCATGATTTATTTTACAGGGTTTTATACTTTATGATCAGACCTAATTTGATTATTTAATTTATTACACGTTTAACAATCATTACATTTATCACAATGATTAATTTCGCACTTGATAATCTATGTTACTATTATTTTAGCCGTTTTATAAAATCATGTGTAACAGTTTCATAGAATTCTATACCTAAATCAAATTCCTAAGCGGATTGCACGTTATATTGATTAACGTGGTCCCTATCTGACGAAAGTTGTTCGATCAACGAAATCATAGTTATACATTATCTTTTCCTTTTAACGTTTTAAAGCAGGAGTCAGCTTTGCTTATGAGATAAACCTCTGCTTCAAGGATGAGTGGTGATGATATCAGTGTTAGTTCGGTTTCCTTCTCCAACAGCACTGATTTCAATCTCCGCCGAATATCAAGGTAATTATTGTGGTTCAGTAATTATTGCGGTTCAGTAATTATTGCGGTTCAGTATTTATTGAGGTTCAGTATTATAATGATCAGATGATTATTGATTATGTATCTCAGCAATGTGGCCTTTAACAAGCTTTTTAACGCATTTCTCCTCCGTTAGGTCGATGAAACTGGAGAAGTTGGAAGATGAAATGTTTGAGAGGAGTCTCCCAACCATGATCCCCTTAACTCGAATGAGGAGAATCAAACGAGCTCCAGCTACTAAACAAATGCCCCTTCTCAACACCTCTACACCGCGACAGAAGAACCCCAGAGTAACACGTCGACTTACTGTTCCTCAGAGAATTTTCCTCTGCAAGGAAATGTACAAAGGAGCAACCTACAACGCCATCGAGCATCTTTGGATGACCTTGTACCCAGATGAAAATGCTCCTTCAAGGACAGCCCTCTATCACCTTAAGAAGAAGTTTGAGGAACACGGCACCGTGCAGAATCTTCAGTGTGTTGCTTCTGGAAGACCTCGGACTGGTGTCAGCTTGGAGCACACGCTTATGGTGTATGAGTCCTTGCAAGATCTTCCCAATATTTCGACAAGGGAACGTGCTATTATGCTGGACATTCCGCGTACAACTCTTCGGCGTATTATAAAGGAGTTAAAACCGGAACCGGCTTGAAGAAGTCATGTCTCATAATGTCTGAAATAGACCCGTTCGAGAAATATACCGTTTGCTGAGAACCTTGACTGTAACATCATTGTTGTGAAGTATGAACGAAAAAAATACAATGTCTATAATTGCTTTGTGAATTGTGAATCATTACGAAGATATTATTATAGATAATGAAATTTGTTATTTGAATTTTGTGTTACTAGAGTGAAATGCGGTTGCTGTTTTTAAGCAAAGTTTGTTTTTATAGGGTTTTATATTATTGTACAAAATATGAGTGCTCATTCAATCATTTATTTCATGGCAAACTAATTAAATTTTATTTATTAAGAATTAATATGAAAGATACACATTGTTTGTTTTGTGTTGAGATATGATCAGTTTCAGATAAATATCCATTGTTATTGATATAATATAATATAATATAATACATCACAGTTTAAATCATTCCACCCAGATGACTGTGTTATTATCCTTTAAAAGTTGTAATATCATTTTTGATTTATTATAGTTTTTTATTTTTTTCATTTCAAATTTACTGTTCTGGAATTTTGTATAATTTTTTGATTTATAAATTATACATTGCTAGAATGAGTGGGAATGATAGCAGCGGTGCCGCAGCTTCTTCCTCTAACAGCACTGATTTAAAACCACGCCGAACATCCAGGTAAACTCATTATTTACTGTGCCCCAGTTTGGTTTTTCAATAACTTGGTCCGACCGCAAAATTATCTGCATTATTTCGGGAAATCAGTTTCTATATTATGTTGAACGGCGATCCAAGAATCAAGGGCAAGTATAAAGATCCTAATAGCTGTACCTCCGACAGGTCGATAAAACGTAAGAAGTTTGACGATGAAGTAGTTGAAAGCAGCCTCCCAACCAAACTAATCCCGGTGGAACGAACCAGAAGAGTTAAACGAGCTCCCAACCCCAAACAAGTCACCCTACCCCACACTAAATGGGGCCCTAAAGATGATCTGAAGTTGATCCTGGCGGTACAGCAGTGTTCAGATCTGGCGCTGGTTCACAAGTGTGTCAAGTTTTCTCAGAAACTCACATACCAGGAGGTTGGTGAACTTGTAATACTGGAATTGTTATCATTCCATTCTGGCTGTCATCCAATAATATCACATGTTTTGTAAATACTACTGCACTGCAAAATTATGAGTCTCCACGACTGGTTTGTTGTGTAGAAAAACGAGATAAAGTGTAATGAATATTCCTTTTATTTGATATTGAATATGCGTCATAAATTTTGAAATATGTACCATGGCCAGATAGAAGAACGTTGGTACCAACTTCTTTACATACCTGAAGTATCTGGTCCAGCAACAGCAGCGATAGCAACCCTCACTCAGGAGGAGAAGACAGCTATTGAGAGGAAAACATTGTGGAGCTCAAAAGAAGAGGCAATACTCCAACAAGTTGAGGCTTCCTCTCAACCTAAACTAGAGTTCTTCGTGTCGCTCCTTCATCAACATCCACTTGTATTCCATCCTGCCAGGTTTGTAGTTTGAGCTTATAGTTTTCTTCTGATTCACGTTGTTTGAGTATAAAACAGCTTAATTTACGCTCAGAATGGTTCCAATCAGGAAAGTTAACAATTTAGTCAACGATTAATTGAAAATAGGGAATGATTTTACGAATTCCAACCTTATACTTTTACATTTCCGCTGTGTAGTAATCGGTGGGATCGAGTACTATTTCCCTTTTATTTGATCTATATTATTGAGCGTTAAGGCACTCGCATAGACTATGATAAAAACTAGAACTCAAAGCCTCTATCCTGTTCCCTCTCGCCTATCGGAGATCTTAACAGATATAATATAATGGTAAAGATAACGGTATCTATTTCAGGACACCACGTGATCTCATGATCCAGTGGGAGCGGCTAAGACAGTACTCACTGCTGGCTGACCAAACTGTTCAACCTCTCAACCTCGGTGATTCTGTTCTCAACTTCTCCGACGTAGAAGAACAGGTTAGATTATTTGATAAATATTAGGCGTTCCCCGTAGTTGGTTTATGGTTAGATTAAAAATGAGAACACAGAATTCAAGATTTTAACTATTACGTTAGCTGTATCTGTAGAGATTTTGCGACTTTTCGCTTTCGTTGAATCATTGCCAATAATCGATTGTTAACAATGATCTTAAGTTCAAGAATTCAAATCATTGGCTTGAAATTTCGCGTTATGAAATTACCTTATAGGCTGAAGCGTAACTTGAGATGCGAGTCCGAATTCTGCCTATATCATATTTCATATAAACCATCTCAATTATTTAGAGCTTAAACAATAAACATTGCTAGTGCTTACCGTCAAAAGATTAACTTAAAGCTGACCTGTTTTATAATCAGTTGACAGACGAAGAGTTGCTGTCAGAACAACCAGATCCAGTGCTGCAAAATGAACTGAGGAAGATCGACAGAAGACACAAAATAGAAATCAGGTGCGGTTTTTAAACTATTTTCCTGATAATTGAGGATTAGAAAATCTCTGAGTAATTGATCGGATGATAATTGAGTGTAGATTAAGTTGCTGACAAAGTGTATCTCACCAGGAAATTGGAGGACGAGATCAGACAGTGGCACACCATGGTCGGGGGCCCTGATAATGGACCTTTCTCTTTCGACCTCGACAATGAGACATACGCTGCTCTGAGGGGAAGGTTCGCTACTTATCTAGACGAATAATGTCATTTTCTAATACGACAATTTTTTCCAATTGAATCCTTCGGCTTCCTGTAATTGGCTGGTTACACTCGTGTAACAATGTTGCTGTTGGAATGTCCGAAGTAAAATAAGTGTTAAATAAAAAAAATGTACTTTTATTCTCACTTTATCCCTATAAAAAGAATATTTAAAGGAATATAAAGGAGTTCCAGATTAATACAACACTATGTAGATTGTAGGTGTATGGTTATTATCTCTGCTCATAACTCTCATTATAACCTACACTAATCTCCGTTTAATTCGTCTCCCATTACACTCGATATAAATCACTTTTACCTGTGCCTTCAGACTGGTGAGGTACTTGATGAGAAGTAAAGAGATCACGCTGGGCAGGACCACCCCCACCCACCAGGTCGATGTGGACTTCTCTCTGGAGGGACCCGCTTGGAAGGTAGGAAACAAATCTGTTTTTAATATTGTAGCCTGGTCTTCATAAGACTAGATTAGTTCCTTTTTAAACGATACTGTTAATTTTCAGATATCGCTAAAACAAGGAATTATAAAATACCATGGAGGAGAGTTCTTCCTGTGGAACTTTGGAAAACGCCCCATTTACATTGATGGGCATCCCGTCATACAAGGTTTGATTTCTCTTTAAACTTTAAATTTTCCCCTAAATTTATATCACTGTGCTGTGAAAATTTGGACGAAGAAACGGAACACAATTTAAAAATAAAACCTCCTTTTCTTGATTTGGGTTAATTTCAATCACATTCTTACAAAATTGCTCTTTCCATATAATATTATGAACATATCGAAAAATTAACATAAAATATTGAATAAGGATAATGATAATAACAACTGGCATGTCACACATGTGCATCATGAACGACATGCTCGTACGTGACAAAATATTCCAGGTCGAACGTTCCAAGTAATTGATAATGAAGACTGTAGAGGCGCACATTAATAATATAATTGTATAATTAATTACCTTCTACACTCTACAACAAAGTAAACATATACACGGCAATGACATGTTGGATAAATAAAATTCATAAATTTGGTTTGCTGAAGTTTGATCATCAAATTTGATAGTTGAGTATTTGATGATAAATTATTCGGTATTTGATAAGTAATTTCCCTTAAAAGTCCACTCTGATACATATTCTCCTCTTTCTTTCTACTTCTTCACCTTAACCTCCAACTGAGCCAGATCAATGGGTTTCTTGTTGCATGTGGTCTCACCGAAGGTCTGTGTCCCCTTGGAGTAGCCTTTAAGATTCTGCTCTATTCCGTCTAGGATCATGGTCTGTATGATCATACTCGTTACAGTGTAAGGGTCAGCGTTGGAAGACGGTCTTCTGTCCTGAATAGGGACATTATCGTTAAAGATGTTCTACAATTTAAATTATATGATCTAGTACTTGCCAGGGATTCATAGGTATATTAATATTACCAACACGCAAACCAAACTCTAATTAGCTGACAGGTACAATGTACAATGTACAATGTATATTATATTGTGTAAAATACCCTAAAATGATATCTCACAAAACTACTGTATAGACTCGGAGCTCTGTAAAAGTGGGCGACTCTTCCGTAAGAGGAACAAAATGCGCGGTTATTTTTTATACACGATGGTATAAACTTGGTAGACTTGTAGTTGTGAGAGATAAAATGTGCGTTTAAGACTAAGTAGTAAGTAAGATACCTCGAAATATCCACAGCCCTCAAGTTCAACGTGTCGTGGTATCCTCACGCTGGCCCCTCTGTTGGCTACTCCGTAAGTAAACTTGTGGAAACTGATAAGGATTGGAAACTGGTTATATTTTCACCAAAAACATGAGGAATTGAATGTACTAAAAGTAAGTGATTTATACTACTATAACTTAGCTACACTAGGACACAACTTTTTCCACAATAACACGCTTCCAACAAAAATAGCAGAGAAATTAGATAAATGTAGCGATAAATCGTCACAAGTTACGCGAAGTCTGCACAATAATCTTTATTACAAAACCCCATCAAATACACTGATGCAAAAACGACCTACTACAGCAATCTCAGCATATTGGAACTATCTCCCCCCTGAAATCAAAAAGAAACTAAAGTGTTTCCTTATTGAAAAGTACTAGGATTATTACTCTGTCAAAAATAAAACTGCGAGATTACGTTGGAATTCACCCTAGCGCTCCTTATCAATTTTAAAGTCTCGCACACGCAACAAATTAAATATTGCGCACAGGGGTCCGGGGTACTGCGTACCCCGGACCCCGGTTACTCACAAATTACAAACTCTCCATTTTAAATTTTAATATTCAGTACCCTTCACTTGTCACATATATAATCAATTATTCTCATAATCCACCATATTACAAAATGTATTTAATTCTAGGTCTAAGTGAAAACAGGGTAAATGAGATATAGTAGTGATACAATATATTATGTGAGAGTAAATTGCAATTGTATAATTGATAAATTTGATGAATTTGAATTTGAATTGTTAAAAATAAATAACAGACTTTTTTTATATCCTACTATATATCCTACTTTATATCTTACTATACCTGGCTGTTTCATGAGCCCCCGTAAGTCGCCGTTTGTTGTCCTCCCCCATATTGGGATCGTACGCTTGGATATGTTCATCGTGCTTCTTTTCAAAGTTTGCCATGGCCTCCTTTATTACTACCAGCCCTCCTGCATGCCTCATAGCTTCAGTGCTAAGATTATATTTTGAAGATAGTAAGAGTGTAAAGTGAGGAAATCTTATAAAATGGAATAAGTATTACAAACTAGAATTTCAAACTTCTGGATACATAAAAAAAGCCTCCCCGAAATTATGTTATTCAAAGAATTATTTACCTGATATTAGTATGACATCCGGCACCGTTCCAGTCTCCTTCTATCGGCTTTGGATCAAAACTGATAACAACGTTAAAATCCTCTGCTACCCGGCTCAGTATCCACCTTGACACCCACAACATGTCTCCCATCTCTATACCTTCGCACGGGCCCACTTGATATTCCCACTGTTATGATGTGTTACTGTTTGTCGGGCCATTCAACCCAAAAATCACTCTTTGGCTTGATATATTAAACACCAAATCAGACAGTAAATTGACCAAGTCTTTAGTCTAATTATATATATATATATAAAAACAGGCCTTGTTGTAAACCGAGCTGGGAAGTTGTGGTGAACAAGATAAAAGTTTATAAATGTTACATTATGTTACCTGAGATGGCATGACCTCTGCGTTTGACCCGGCTATTTTTATTCCAGCATGCAGACATGCTCGGTAGTGAGCTTCCACTATCTTCCGTCCGTGTACTCTGTTTGTTCCAACTCCGCAGTAGTAAGGCCCCTGTGGTTGAACTCGTTGTTTCCTTGGTTGACCTCATTCATTGGGTGAAATATGCATGTTGACCCCTTTTAGCTTTAATTGATCGTGAATATTTCTTTGAATTAAGGAAATATTTGTTTTAAATATTCACAAACATTTTCTAAACGATAAATTTAAACCTGTGGTCCAGGGTAGCCATGCTCGGGCCAGCAGTAAGGATGTTTACCATTCGACGCAAACATTGTGTACTCCTGAGGTAAATAATAAGCGGTAGTCAACTGCTACAGCCAACTTTCCATGCGTGTGATGTATAGTGAGGCAAGGAAAATGTGATTCCGTCTATTAAATGTTGAACTGTACTAGTCTATTTCTCGTGATTGAACTGAAACAGTCACCAGAGGATGCCTCCATTTTTTCAGACCCATGAAAACAAAAGTTGCGAAGTAGGACAAAACCTGTTCTATGCCGAACCACGGTCTCTGATAGGATGCTTTGTCCATTCTCTCCCTACAGGCGTGTCTCTTGTTAGTGGGATGGGGCGTTACTCCATCCGGACACAGCGTCTCGCACAACACTAAGATGTTATCTCCTCTTCTGAACGGATCCCTGACAACATACCCTCCAGTTATCTACAAACCTCATCGTTTGTACACTATTTGATACCTTTTTTGATCAAAGTTTAAGTCAAGGACCAGCATCGCTTAATTTGACCACGATTCACTACTCTAATAGACCTGTTACCTGTAAAAGGCGACGGGCTTGAGAAGAACGTCACTGTTTTCCCCCGTTGATTGACCAGTGCTACTGCCGTCAAAGTTCCACTCTGGTAAGTCACTGACTAACGTGGGCTTCCTTGGTAACGTCCTGGTTTTACCTCTGAGGATGTTTAGATTAGCAAAGGAGAGAGTAGGAAATAAATTTGGGCAAATATATGAAAATTCTGAACATTTCAAACAACGATCGAGAAATACAAGGGCAAAATAAGCTGTTTTTTCAAACCTCATATTTTCTCCGGTACCGTCAATCCAGATATAGAAAGCCATGACATTGCCTCCCTGATCCAAATCAAGGAAAGGATTTTTCTTCCCATCCAGTCCATCACCAATTTTTAAATTGGCCATCTTGTACCTCTATTGGTAAGGGCAAGTTATTATTAGTTATTTCTTTGCACACAAAACTACCAATAACAATTATTAAATTGAGATTAACGAGTAAGCAACGTGAAAGCAGCTCCCCGATACAAAATATATTAAGTTTGAAAATGCATCTTTGTTCATCAGTCTTTAGGGCCTAATTTTTAAAACTATGCACACCACGTCTTAAAGAATCAACATGCTATTGCATGCTGAATCACGCTAGTTTCAGACTGCTTGACCATTATTTTCCGGTAAAGTTAATATGTCTTTCCATGTTTTAAAAGTTGGTATGTGATCATTGGAGCAGTTGGAGTTATAATGAATTTATTTCCTCTTCAACTAAAGGCCATCTTAAAATCAGTGGTCTGCCCATTGTGGTTAAATATATGCGGTTGAAGACACACTGTGAACCGTGCAAAATACATGAATGATATTATGGCGGACTTAAAATGATACATAATATTATTATCAATGATGAGCATGGCTTATAGTCCAGCAAAGTATTACATAATTCATGTCTCCGTTAAGGGGGCTGGGGGTCTCGTTTAGGGGGCCGGGGGGTCTCCGTTTAGGGGGCCGGGGGGGGGGGGTCTCCGTTAACTTAATTGATTTTTTATTCGACTCTTTGGATTGTCAAACTGCTGCTACAAATACACATGGAACTTAATTGCCACACGTTTATGTACATACCTGTAATGTGTGAAACAAACACCCGTTTCACGCATGACCAAACACTCACTAAATGCGTGCTATTTTAAGAGTTGCTAAGCTAGTCTATTAAAGAATAACATATCAAGTATAGATTGTAATGTCTGTGCAACAGTCGATCGCAGTAGAATTCGCCGATTGATTGACTACCTTAACCAGACTTCAAAGTGAATAAAAGAGTAAAGCGATTTAATTATCAACGAATTTCGATGGGGTTTGGATCTATACTACTACAAATTGAATCTATACTGCTACAAATTGGCGCGTTCCATGAAATTATACTAGATCTACAAAACGTCGTACGACGACTGAAACAATGTAAACGTTTATAAGGCTGATAAGAAGAGACAAAATGCACTGTTGGACAATGGACGGTTCGAGGAGTGCCACATCATGAAATTTCTTAAGCAGATATTAAATTTCTATTATATGGTTAAGTTATTTAGTTTAATATCTGATATCTCGGTCCGATATCAATGAAAATATGGACGTTGCTTGAAGATCATTGTCGGTCACCAGTCACCACTTGCACTTACCGTCTGAGGAAATCTTTATCGATTATAAAAATCAATTAAAATAATAACCGACGTGTGATTGGAAAACATGTTCCTCACAAAAAGAAAATTGTTAAGTTTAACCTCGCTGCATCGTACCCTTTTAAAATGAGCAGGCAAAAGACAAGCGTTCATGATTCGTTCAAGAAAGTTGCTAGTCAACAATACTGGATATACAGTTTAACAAACTGATATATTTAAAGCTCTAAGATCGTCAAAGTTACTTTTGAGTAACTTTTTCATTAGACTTACATTTAAAAATGTAAGTCTAATGAAATTTCATAATTCGTTCAATTCCACACAGGTCACAGAATAAATTTCAAGCTGCTGTTGTTCGATTTCATCTTCGATGTATCATTTAACATGATGCAGTAGATAGTTTTAGACTTAACTAGCACAGTGTTTTAGAAAGAATCTTCCAAATCAAAATTATAAGTAAGATATAAGTTTGTGTTAAATTATCGTGTAATTAACGATTAATTATCATAATCATTAATCATATATTATGTAATAATTGCAAACTCCTCACAGGTTGTCACTCAAAGCTTCACCATCACTGTGTTATGGAGATCTGCTCCCTCAAGTTTATCTTCATCATCAACAAAACTCTGACGGAGGGTAAAAACAACGACAAAGTCTGACCGGAGAGTTATGGATCGAGTTTTTCCTTAGTTAACCTGTAAAAAAAGGGGCGTCGCGGATACAAAAGTGTTGCTGCATGGGGCAGCCATCAATCACTTTGTTGCTGAGTTACATAATGTTAAAATTGGCAATACAAGAATTTATTTGTCAAGATGTTGATTGTTGATGCCCCTGCTAATGAAAAGCAAGACTTTTACTTCGTCAGATCTTACATCATACCGCTGATAAACATGGCACGATATGCTGTCATTATTGAATGTGAGGATTACACGTTATACCGTTTTATCAATTTTTTAAATGAATCGTTTTTCAATTGAATAAGTTTTCTGAGATATAATTGAGTTTACAGAAATATATAACACTAAAATATTTTACAGTTTAAGGGGTATATGATGAGCCTAGGGAGCCTTCACAGTTCACATATTATATCAGCAGCTGAGGGGGGATGGGGTTTGGAAATTTGAATTGCTGACTGGGTGGGGGGGGTCTGGGCCTTGCTGACGTCAGGAAAAATACCTGAATTTTGGCCAAAATTCAAATCAATTTAATTAGAAATAACCTCCCGGCCCGGGTCCTTCACCAAATTCTCCCAATTTTCCGTCCCAACCAAGCAGAGCTAATATAGTAATATCATGCCACCTCATGCAACACCCAGACCTTGCCGACCTTCTAATTTGAAATTCAGTCCGCGGGGAGGGGGGGGGGGGGGTCTGGCAAATGCCGACGTAATTTGGGAGGGGGGCCGCTCGATGCTGACAGTTGCTGACGGTAGGGGGAGGGGGTAAAAATGGCCAAAAACTTGCTGACGTAATAATATGTGAACGCTCTCCTATTACAATATGTGATGTTAGGCATGTGATAAGCGTTAAGCCTATTATTATACACCTATCGATAATAACTATCAAAGGTGTATTGAGTTGAATTTTACTGTTGTATTAATGCTGTATTAACACCGTGGTTATTTGAAATTAACTTTTGTTTTGTTCATTGTTCGTTGTGCTTCAAATATGATTTAATGCCGATGTGATGATGATGATCATTATATGTGTTCAAGATACATGAATCGTACAGAATACACATGTTAAACTACAGTATCTCTAACTGTTATACATTGAAGTGTGTCTACTGGTGTGAACTTGCATACAGTTTGTTAGATTACTGGTATTTTGCTAAATTATATAGATATCATCTCGTGAGGACTCTTAAAGAAGTCACTTTTAGAGCTCACAGCTAACGTTTACTATCCAGGTAGCCCATGTAAAACCCATGTCTTCTGTTATGAGACACTCAGCTGACCATCATGACATATTTTAGCACTGACATTGGCGCCCAGATTCACGACATCAATGATGACTGTAAGTTCCAACTTCCACAGTTGTTCCCAGTAAAATTGATTTGATAAATATTTGGGGGTATACTCACGTCTTACATGATTTATAGTACACACGATTTAGGGGTGAACTTATCACGTGTTAATATAATTAAATTCGTGATAACGAACACTTCAAATATCGAACAATAACTTCAGATTCCCATAACTAGCCGGGATTCTAAAACTGCTTAAAATCTCCTCAGACTACCTTTACCAAGACAAGAGTCTCCACTCGGCACTGGTGATAGAGAAACGAGAAGAACTATCCACAATGGTGGAGACCGAGACCCTGGAGAGCGAGTGGGAGCGCACATTCCACACTACCCACTACGTGCTCAAGATGAAGGAGCGCGCTCTCAAGGGTCTCCTCAGAGATTCTAGCTTTAGGAGCGTTGCTTGGCAGGTAAGAGTTGGTAACTTTTAGCTTTTGCTTGATAAAAGTACGCTGTAAACATGTACCACAGTACAAACTAAAGCACTGAATACCGTGAAACATTGTATTTAATCACCTCAAGGATTCACATCATTAATAGTAACACGGCAACAATTAATAATAAATGCAAAAGAAACGAATGTCGTTGCGATTCTTTAACTGTTCCTACAAAAAATTATTATGAACCATTGGATCAAAAACACGTACCGATCAATGATCACATGACTGGCAACGTATTAGTCTTCAGCCTTATTATATGCTTGATGGTAAACAGGAATACTGTACGTGTGAAAATCTCCGCATGCAGGAAATCAATCTAATCATGACAATGGAAAATCTAAAACGCAGGATGAAATTGCGTATAATATTAACTGTTAACGATTTCATTAACATGATTGATTAAGTTCCGCTCACTCACTATGCCACTATTTTATTTTACAAGTCTGAATTTTTGGCCATTCATTGTCGATGGGATGGCCAAACATAACAAGCCACAATGATCAGGCGCCTGATCAATTCAGACTTGATCAATCATGTTAATGAAATCGTTAACAGTTAATATTATACGCAATTTCATCCTGCGTATTAGATTTTCCATTGTCATGATTGACTTTCTCATCTTGAGATTTTATTGGCATGATCCCTCTTGAGATTTTATTGGCATGATCCCTCTACGAGATTTACTAAATTTTGTAATTAAAAAAACACCAAGTTCTGTCACGTGTTTTCCCCAAACCTCACCCATAATTCAGGTTTTCCTGGAGGTGTTACCAGGTGACTTAAGACAGTGGGTGCCAGTTACACATCAGAACAGACAACGGTACTCCGAGTTAAAGTCTCACTACGTGGTTGACCCTCACCAGACAGAGGACATGTCCCTGACTGTCAACAATCCCCTCTCTCAGGAAGAGAAGGTATTTTCACTGTGATCTGTTCTGTGATGTTGTTATGAGAAGTTGAGGTGTTTTTTGTTTGCATTACTTTTTATTCGTTTCTGGGTGCTGTTATGCTCCGGATTGCTAATAGTTCTACCAACGGTTGCTCTCACTGAATTTATATTTAAAAGCTTATCTTAAACTTTGCACCAATCTTTACCAATTAAATCCCCTAGAGTCCGTGGGCCCAGTTCTTCCAAGATAACGAGCTGAGGAAAGTCATAATGCAGGACATAAAGAGGACCTATCCAGGGGAACTGATGTTCGAACAGATAGAAATACGAGATATCATGCTCAATATCTTGTTTATTTACGCTAGAGAGCAGCCAGACATAAGCTACAAACAGGTGCCTCAACACGTGGCTTAATTTTAATATATATAAAGATATAACTGGTGATTTAAGATATCTTTACTGGTGCATATAACCACTTTCTGTACTAGAATACACGATGATAGAGACTGCTCACTGCAGAGTTTAACAATTAACTGACCAGGGTATGCACGAGCTGTTGGCGCCCATAGTTTACGTGTTTTACAACGAGTATGTGTTGGTTCAAGACGTTACTAACCCCTCCAGGTATATTATATATGGCCCAATTAATTATCCTGATTAATTAAATACTTTAAAAATTAAGTGCTAAATTTCCCTGTCATATTCCTGTAATTAACAGCTTTGTAAGTTATATATTTAAATAGACTATTTACTTAACCAAATATCCAGTCAGTTGATCAGAACGGTATTGTCGAGGGAACATTTGGAGCACGATGTGTACTGGTGCTATGTGGCTCTCATGAGACACACACAGTCCTATTACACCACTGACAGAATCGCAATGGTAATTTAACACTTACTGTAATTTAAAATACTTATTGTTTATGTGTTAGTTGAATTTATACAATCTAAGCTTCCTCACAGTGTTTGATATCTTGAAAAGAGTCAAAAATTTAAAGCACATTTTCTTATCAAGTGACAATTTCTTCATAATTCATATTATATGAGTTTAAATTATCAGCGATTCAAGTTTTGATCAAATATATACATTGTTAATGGTAGGTAACAGTAACAAACACAATCTCCCATATGATTTAAAAAGCTTAAGCACATCTCGCAATAATATCATGTATCTTAAGCATGTTAAGAATAACTTATTTCAACTACTCTCCACATCAGTAAATAAAAAGTGAATAATATAAAACGTAAATAAAAGTTCCCTGTGACATTCCCTGTTCAGCCGGAACCAGTCAACAAAGAACAGACCCAATTGTTTAAAGAAGCAGCACCTCTACCATCTTCATATATAGTTCAGAGTCTAGAGGAGCTACAAAATGGTACTCTACGGAGGTTTGATCCTGAGTTGCAGCAACATCTTCAGAAACTTGCTATTCAACCTCAGGTACGTCGTTATTACGAGAAATTTTTTAATGTGAGATACTGTGAGAGTTGCTGATACAATTTAATAAGATCTATGTCTTCAAGCATAATGCGTTCCTTCCTGAATCCTGGCCCAACGATACATATTATTTTTAACGATCACTGCCATTTCAGTTGTATGGCTTAAGATGGATGCGGTTGCTATTTGGTCGGGAGTTTCCCCTGAAAGAAATGCTAGCAATATGGGACGCCCTACTCGCCTCACCAGACTTTGCGGGGATGGTAGAGTACATCTGTATAGCAATGTTGCTGTATATCAGGGACGCCCTGCTCTGTAACGACCACACGGGGTGTTTGACCCTGTTGATGAGGTATCCTGAGACTCACGATGTACAGCTGTTCATTCAGCGTGCTCTCTTTCTCCGCAATCCTTCTGTAAGTTGTGTTGTATTGTTAGCTGTTAAGCTTTATTAAGAGAAACATTTGAATTTTGAATAAAGGATATTATATCACCCCGCTATTATTGATAGATATCGTAATTAGGACCGATCTATTGTTTCTCCATTGTTAACTGTACATTCTAGCACCAGTCATGCGTTTTTCAAATGATATAATTACCATTTAGTTTATGGTCTGTGACGGTATGTTTCTCTTATCAGAACTACGAATGCCCACCTAACCTACAATACCGTCCGAATTCCAAAACGAGACTTGGCAATGGTCCAGACAGACAGCACGTGACCCAAGTTAAAAGTGGAACTGCAGGTAGACAGGAACCAGCGCGACAACACAGGTAATGTTAATCGTAACCTGGTTTACAATAGGACATGTTCAAACCTGGTTGGTGGTTTTGTTTCACTGCCAAAATGGGCGGTTTTCTCATTTTTACAATAACTCCATTAATAATTACTCGATGGTCTTGAAACTTTCAGAGATGATTATAATTGTGATAAAAAATAGTCTCAGGTCATCGGCTATGAATAATATTGTAAAATGGCCCAGTTATGTTGAAAAATGTAACATTTGGTTACACTTTTCAATGGCTCAGCCAATTATTAAATTTTAAAGCTTTTTGCTTCACAAAAATGTACTTTAGGTATTTGCTTAGCTGTGGAATGAAAAAAGGCCCACTTTTGATTTCATAAAAAGGCCCAAAATGGACATTTTGTAACATCTTGTTTTCATGAATCTATCTTTACAGTTTGTTACAACCACAGCTAGTGTATGATATGTATTTAACTCTCAAACCAGGTTATTAGTGCAGCAATTCTTGTATAAAGGCATTACCACAATCTTGGTATATGGTTCATAATCAATAAAAGGCCCATTTCTTTGAATAACGTAACATGGTTACAAATGAGTATGTTATACAGAGTTGTTTGATCTAGTATTGGTTTTAAGTTGGTTGATGCATTAAAATAAAGACATGAAACAACTTAACAAATTAAAAAAATGATAATTGGGACCAATTTATTGAATTTTGTAACAATTTAAATGTAATGTAATTTAAATTGACAATCCGCGACAGAACGCGGTAAATTGAATCAAATGAATATAGCTAATTAGATTAAAGGTTGGATATTTAAAAAATTTTAATTTATATATCAAATTGTATAGAAAATAGAAATTGGGCGCTATTATATATTGAAATTTGTAACAATAAAATGCCAGGTCACGAGTTTATCCACTGAAATGGCAGAGTTCCATGTCCATCTGTGGACTTACAAAATTCAATGTTTTGGGCCCAAGTACAAAATATGGTCAATAATATGGTTGATGGAACCCTTATGACCTAGGCAAACTGGTCTGAACTTCAAAAACTATAATATAGCTTGCCTAACACCCCTCACACTAGGATACATACTATACTATTACTATACTCTATACAGTATACATTTACTTTCTAATGTTACGTTATTCAGGTTCCGCAGCCATTTTATCAAATTATACGAATAAGGATTGCTTCACAATTCTGTATGAGAATCTAAAAACCATGTTACCAGTACAAGAATATATTGAACATTCCAGATATGAGCTTTGTAGTCAAAACATAAATTTGTTACAAAATTCAATGTTTTGGGCCCAAGTACAAAATTTGGTCAAGAATATGGTTGATGGAATCCTTTGTGACCTGGAAAAACTGGTCTGAACTTCAAAAACTATAATATAGCTTACCTAACACCCCTCACACTAGGATACATGCTCTATACACTTACTTTCTAATGTTACATAATTCAAGTTCCACAGCCATTTTATCAAATTATATGAATAAGGATTGCTTCAGAATTTTGTATGAGAATCTAAAAACCATGTTACCAATACAAAAATATATTGAATATTCCAGATATGACCTTGGCAGTGAAAACATAAATATGTTACAGAATTCAATGTTTTGGGCCCAAGTACAAAATTTGGTCAAGAATATGGTTGATGGAACCCTTTGTGACCTAGAAAAACTGGTCTGAACTTGAAAAACTATCAAGAAGCTTCTCTAAAAACCCATTGAAAAAGTGTAACATAGAAATGTGTTACAAAATTCAATATCCAGGGCCCCCAACTAAACTGATATATCTCAGGACCTGAATATGTTACAAAAATTCTGATTCAAGGGTGCCCTCAGTCAAAGGGTCTAGTTTTTGTCTGTAGTTTCAGTTTTTCTTAAAATGTTACAGATTTCAATCTGGGGGCCCAGAAGTAATGAGTGGGAAAAATGAAACAAAACCACCAACCAGGTTTGAACACGTCCAATAGCTTCTCGTAATGAGGCCGAGGGGGATTTGTTAATCGCAGGATCATAGGATATTAGGATTTTAGGATTTATAAAAACAATTCAAATTGTCATGCTGGCGTTTACTGCAATTAGTGCAGTCATTTTATTGTACTTAATTGAGTGTTAACCTGACCGAGTTCTGTTACAATAAAGGTTGACTCGTATTGTTTGTCAAACAATTCAAGTAAAGAAAGATAATCGTCAACTTTCTTGTTCACTGTCAAGACAGGTCTGATGTTGGTTCTGTATCTTGACCCCGACTATAATCTTTATACAGTCATCTTGTAAGCTCAAATTCAAATTTTATTTTCATGTTTATGTTCGACAAGGCGACCAGAATCAAAATCTATAAACTTTCATTTATTTTCTATTGCTAATTGCTGCTATGTTGTTTTAAAATTCAATCAATCGACTTTTAAATTGAATGTTTTCCGTTATATCTGTACTCCCATATCACGCGTCATTGGGTCTGTCTGCAATATCATCCTTACACTGTGCCCGGCCAATGGCACCACTCAATCATTTATTAAAGTTGTGGTACAATACATTTCATTTTCTGTAATTTTAGAGGATCAATTAAGTTATTAGATCGGATAATTGATAACATCTGTAAAAAGTGTTATCTCGGCAATTATACCACATGTCATCTCTATCCCATCATTCTTCAATATACTGAATCTGTGGTGCTTTTCTTATTCACATCAGAGGGCAGTCTTTTTTCGATGTTTCACCTATATATTTCATTCCCCGCTATACCGAGCTTTCATTTTCATCAATCTTAAATTATAATTAATATGCAATAAATTTAATTTTACAAGAAAAGTAAGCTAACTAATGTTATCAGTAATCAGTATTCCAATTCTTCACCCTACCTAGTGGGTCGCATCATATCGTGAACATTACCTTATCTTGCTGTGCCACTTTATCAAATTACATGCTTGATTAGGTGGATCATGTACTCAAGTGTAACTTATCAATTAGCTGGTACATCGATATCATATCAAGTGACCTGATTATAATCTTAATTGGAGTGTATGTATGAAGCATACCTATTATTTCTTATGTCACTTAATTGGTGGGATTTTGTTTCCGTGCTTGATATAAATAATGTGCATACTCAATACTCATTGCTCAACGTTTTGCAAGTTTGAGGTGTAGTTATATACAATATTTGTTGTCTGGTTGTGTCTTTAGATAACGGCTTTTTTGGGAGTTTCATACTTTTGTCTAAAAAGATAACGATTTTATTTCGGGGATTAGCTACTTTTTCTCGTATTATGGCATTGGTAGTACATTTTCGGCGTGATGCAGTATTTTGACCTGAACTCTAAAACGGAGAAGATAAAGGGCCATATAAAATCATTTAATTTCGCTTCGATTCATTTGATTTACTTATCTTCATTTTCTATTCAGGGCCATATGGCCCAAACTTAATTTGGGCCCACCATGTATTATCAGTTTATTGGGTTATTGTTTTGGTCATGCTGCTATTTTTATGCTCAGTCTGCAGATGTTGGCCCCATCTTCCCGGAAATTCTTAATTTTCTGCTGAGTTAATTGATACCGTTATATCGTTTTTTGTTCACTGTTGCTGGGGACTATGGATACTACAGGCAGACTTCTCTAGTGCTTTACAAATAATTCTCTAACCTTCACTTGATCTCAGCAGCAAGAAAAATACCATGCCTCCCTTACTCCCTCTGGAAAGTGAGCCCGTTCTGTCTGATTATTATTCCTTTGCCAAACCGTCTCCACCGCCCACCAAAAGATACCGTGGCCTTCGACGTAGATCTCTAACATCCCCCGCTGAGCTACCATCTGGGACAATCGATAGAGAGAAATCAGTAACTGAGCCGGCTGTTGCAAAAGATATTAACGTGAGGAATTTGCGGCGGAGAAGCTCTTCAGGGACCATCCACGAGACATCTGATCTAAAAAAATTAAGAAGAAGAAGAACGGTTTCCGAGTTAGTCTCTGAAACCAAGATAACCGCTGCTCATAGAGTGGCAAAGTTCCTGACTTGTTCTTCAAACAAAGACAGTGCTTCCGGGAGCTCCAAGCCATCTTTACCTGTTCCACAGAAAACGGATTTTAGGAACGCATCCTACGAACTCCCCGAAATTTTACCCTCCAAGAAAGTTATTGCAATATTGGAGTCAGTACCGGAACAGGTAATGTGTTTTAGCCGGAGAACATCCCTTCAGGACAGCCAGCAATTTCTTTCTCTAGACATACGAGCTCCTTCTGCAGCTTCAAGCGAATCAGAAGACTTCACACCTCCAGAACTACAAGGCCGGGGTAGACGCATGTCTCTTCCTCAGATACAAGGCCGGGGTAGACGTATGTCTGTTCCAGCAAACACTAACTCTATAGAACAATTTACATCGTATGAGCTTTCGCCTCCTGAAGAGTTCCTGAAGGTAAGAGAGACGGTGATGCAGCGGAGACATTCCCTTCCTCACAACATTGTTGTTGACCTACCAAAGAGAAGGTTTAGTGTAGATTTGCCTCGAGTTCGCTGGGGAAGTCAGAAAAAAGACAAGATAAATCGTGGTCAACCGATGTTCAAGGAAAATGTTGAGAGGTTTTTATAAAAAGCTGGGTAGTTCAGTTGTATACCATACCAGTGGCCGAACTTAATTGATTCTTTTGGGAGGGGATTTCAATGGAATTAAATATGATATATAATTTAATTAATTGTATATTTTCGTTTTGGTTCTGATGAATTATGTATTAAGTTTAGCCTTCCAATGATAATAATCTTTTATTTATCTTCCATCAATCGAACGATCATGTGGGATAACAATAAAAAATACCCAACGATGTACTGAAGATTTCTTATGTTTCAGGAGCGAGTCAGTTACTTTTACTTCGCCGAAAAGCCCCGTGGCCGTAATATCAGATACAATAAAACGCAAAATGTCCACGCCGAAAGTCCATACCTCCGTTTCCGTTTCTTCACTTAATCGGTTTGTTAACTTTGACTACTGGAACTTTGCGTTATGAGTCTGTTATTTGCAGCTGCTATGAATATGTTTTATTTGTTTATTGATTTTGAAATTTCAGGCCAGTAGAAGTATCATCAGAAGTGCCTGAGCTGACAGAATGTAAGAGGGTTCAGGCATATTGTTCCGATAGATTAGACTCCCTCTTGGATGATCTACAGGGTACCATTTGCGATATGTGCGAAGAAGAAACAGATCACGAAGATAAGCTCATGGTGTCACTTGCGGGACTCAAACAGGTTTGACTCAAAAACCTTTCGCTACATTACCCACATGCATCCACGTTAGCAAAGAATGTGTCATAAATTGGCACTGTCACACTATAAATAATGACTGCTGGACTGCGCAAAGTCATTCGACTAATAAATGTGCAGTACGGGAAACGTAAGTTCACCTCGCGCGTTTTGTAGAAATAACAAAGGTCATTCACTTTAAGATAGACCCGGAAGATGAGCTTAAAAGTTTAACCTCAATACATTTATTTCGACTTTGGTTGTTGACTGATAACATACACGTATTTTTTCCATCATGCCATGGGAAGGCAAAAACCACGTTCTGTTCTCATGCCCGAGACCTATGTGATCAAGTTTGTAAGCCACCAACCGCCTCTTGGGTAGAAGTGACTAATTTATAAAAAGAAACCTTTACAGGTTCGAGATATTTTAAAAGGGAATGTCAGTTTGGGGTGTATTTTAGGCTCGCCAGCCGCCGACAGTCCGTCGATACAATCTTCTGAAAATGGCGACACTGACTTATCCGGTTTGTACCTGTTCACTTTACTTATCGCTATTGTATAATATGCTAATATAAATATAAAAATAAATTCTAACATTTAGTACACGCTTCGACATTAAAATATTAAATTGATAAATGTTATATTGATAAATATTAAATTGATAAATATTAAATTGATAAATATTAAATTGATAAACAAGCATTGAATTTTACTGGCGATAGTAAGAATAAGGTGCTAATATAAATAACAACTCTCCTCCAAATGAGTAACATGACCATCTCCATTACAATACTACTACCTCAGATATCCAAATAGCAACAGAGGAAGCTAGGGAGAGAGTGGATTCCAGTTCCCAAGAAACAGCGTCAGTAACCAGCTCAGTCGCAGCACCTCCTCTCCCTCCGGCTGACCTCGAAACTCTGGATCTTTTCAACGATTTCTCCCTCACATCGAACACTTTGAAGAAGACACACATTCATCCGAAGAAGACTGCTTCGGAACCAAGCTCGAAAAGTCAAAGTTTCTTCGATCCTTTGTCATCAGCTCTCACGAATGATGATAATTCGGAAGAACTGCCAGACTTTTTAAGGAAACCGTGATTTTTGTGGGAGATTTTTTAGGGGGTTATTTGAGGCAACTAATATTACAGCATTTTCACTGGTGAAAATATATGGTTATGCAAGGGTTATGTTACAGCATAGCAAGTTCATACTTGATTTTGTTGTTTGCTTTGAAAGGTGTAAGTTACTAAAAAATATCAAAGAATCGCATCGGTGATGAAATTTAAGCTGATTTTCGTGTACTTTCCTTTTTATCTACTTTAACTAAAGGATATCTGACGTTATGTTTGCTTGACGTAAGTTCTCTGACTATATTTTCTGTTTTTATGTTGTGATTTGTTTCGTATATTGAAAGGTTTATAATATGATAGTGAAAGTGGTTTATGATGATTGAAAGATTTCAATGAAAGATTTTTACCATTAAATTGCTAAAACATTTAATGTCAGAATCGACTTATAAATACAATGACGTTTTCTTCGTTCAGTCCAGGTCGATTTAAAAAAGTTAAACTCAAATATCTTGACCTCCAAAGAATAGGTTGTAATGAAAATTTTTTTGCGACTCTTCATAAAATGCACTGAATATCTGCAGAAGTGAGTTTTTACTTCATTATTTGTGATAATAAATCCTCAATACTTCTTTATCTTATACAAGATCCTTTGAATAAAAACAAGCGAAAGTCGAAAGATCTAATTAATCTAATTGGACAATTCCCGTTATAGTTAGTATGGGTTTCGGAATATACAGTCTTATTGAAGCTGGAGTACTCCTGATCAACGCACTCGCTATCCTTAACGAAGAAAGATTTCTTAGTAAAAGTAAGTTGCTACTCTCATCCTAGTCCTCCCTAATAAACATGTGTTTAGATAATAATGAATCATGCTATTGCGCCTAATGTGAAATGCAGACAATGTTTAACCATTTGTTTTCTTCCTTCAGTTGGGTGGTCGTCCAATGCTAGTACAGACCAGTTTTCATACGGTGAGGCACCCGGGGTTAAAACGCGGCTGATAGAGTTGATTTCCAGTGTCAGAACACTGATGAGAAGTAAGTTGACCAGTCGCCACCCCAGTTTTAGATAATTCGAATAATCATAAGTAGTCTCGAATATTGATGTGCTTTCTGAAACCTAACTCTCACCACAACCTATTTTCAGTTCCCCTCATCTTCGTCAATTCCCTGGTGATAATATTGGAACTTCTCTTCGGATAACTAGTTTTAAAAACCCCAGAAATGACTTTGTCATTAACATATTGTATCAAAATTGCGTTGTATTTTTATTAAATCAAAAATTACAATTCACATAATGGGTAGTATAGTCTTGACTTGTAAGCTTTTAATTTTGGTCGCCAAATGTAGACCTTCAGTTACATTTAATGATATCATGTAAATATAAGTTTTTGATGTTATACAATTTTGTTTCTTCTTGTAATCCGTCATTTGGCAACCTGAGCTAAAGTAACATATTATCAAGTTGTATTATTTTGGTTTTCATTACATTGCCAGCTACTCAACTGCGGGTTTTGTTCTGTGAAGATTTTTATAGCTTAATTAAACTCGACATATTGACACAAATTTGTGATTCAGTCGAAGAGCTTCCAATTTACATCGGCTAAAAAAGTGCACGATTTCATAGCGATCGTGGATGTTTAGAAGTAATTTTGTACAATAATACTCCGAGAATCTATTTAACTAATTTGTTTATGTTTAGCATATTAAAGCACATAAATAATATATTTCTTAGTTTAGCACAGAGATAAATATGAATTTTAGAAGGAATTTAATGTAACTGACTTGACTTACGTTGATAAATCTTGGATGTATTATTGTTCTGTTTTGAAATAAAATTTTGCATGATATACTGGCTAAACATTTTTAATTTCAATGTGTTTCAAACTAATTACATCAAAAGATTTCTATAGTACACGTGTATATCAATACATACTATCTAAACTGAATATGTAACCTGAATTTACGCTAGAAAAATGGCGAGTAACGACATCAGAGATATCCTGAGCCTGAGTAGGCAGGGCTCGATGGAGAGGAGTAATAAAAAGAAGAGAACGGAACCAGCTAAGCGGCCAACTGGTTTGCATTTTTGTCCTGAATATTCCTCTTTTGTATCTAAACTTGGCAATTTCATCAAATAGATCGGTTACATCGTGCTGGCCATTTCTTATGTCAGATTCCATGTCTTAGATTGATTCAGCGGATAAATTTACTCTTTAAGGTGAATACAGTTTGGTTTTAATAACTTCAATCTGCATTTCAGGGATGCACAGAGAAGTGTTTGCTTTGCTTGGCACCACAAACGATCTGGACCCTCCCCCTCTTCAAAAATCAAACGATAAAGGACTGCGACATATGAAACAACTGTTCGGAAATAGGAAGGTTAGTAAAATCTACCGTGAATTTTGATGGTTTCGAAATACTGTACATACACTATATCGTATACATACTAATTTCTAATTAATTTGTATCTAATTTATAAATTTTTAGGGCCCAATAAAATTGCTATGACCAGTTTACTGGCCAGTTTTCTGGCCAGTTTAATGGTCATCTGGTGTTTCGGTGTCCCTAATTTTGTTTACAATCAGTCACTTGTACAGGTTTTCGGCGAATTTTCTTTGTAATAATTAATAAAATTATGAAAGTTACCATTTTGAACATCCGGTAATAGGAAATTTCAAGATTTGTAAAGGAGTCCGAGTAACGCTGTGATGAGTAATGATTAAAGTAATGATTAAAGATGCAACTGGGTTAAACTGTTAAATTATTTCCGGATACGAGATTGGGGACAAGCACATTACAAGTACACATTACAAGTACATTAATTGTACTTTTATATATACTGAGCTTGCGTTAAGCTTAATACTGCGACAAACGGAAAGCGCAAAAGTACACGTCAAATGTGGCTCGCAGTGAAGTGTACTGCTGACTTACTATTTCAATTGAAAATGGGTCCGATAATGTGTGCTGTTAACCTGTAGTAAAGTTGCGTGGTGCTCATCACATGAAAAGGAGTGCAGACTGTAAATTGACAAAATCATTCCACTTTGTTGAGTTTGTGTGCGCACAACTCTACCGTTTGTGTGGTTATCTTATTCGTTGAATTGCAGTAATGGTAGAAGATGGTCCATCTGTTACAGTTAAAAATCGAAAGATAGTCCTTGCGATATTTGCTCTTTCAGCGATATTCGATATTCGTCCCCTTCTTTTCTCAACAAACTAAATTAACATCTCTAATCTTCAAACTGTTAAGTGTTAATGTTTACTGAGAAGTGAGCGTATTTTCATTGTACAATGTACTCCCTCATCGCGATAGTTCTTTAACATTGTTAGTTATATGTTCATAAATACAATTTAATAACTGAGGGTCACAGTGACCCTCAGTATTCTAAATATTGTTGATTACGGCTGTGAATGTTACTATAATTTCAGTGCCGCTCTTAAGAATGAATCATGACATTATGTCAGTTCAAAAGACGGTCATCTTTTTCCTACTCCTTCTTTACGCCATTACCCTCGTCTACTTTTTAAAGGAGGGGAATTTTGGTGACAAATCATCTGTGGTACTTATTGTAGACACTGGAGCTCAAGTGCGAGGATCAGGGGTTTCAGTGGAAAGTAGAGTTGAGAAGAAGCGGGACTCAATCTCTCAACAAAATATTACTGACCTGGATTTTCATGACTCAAACAGTCTAAATCTAAAACCTCCTCGCCAGGATTGGGCCGCTTCTCAAATGAAGAAGACAATGGCTTTGTTAGATATGGAATACCCTATGACTGAAAAATGGAGAGAATGTGGACCTAGAACGTACTACTTTCCTAACATTAACGCTATTTTCACTGGTATCCCAAAAACTGGCTGCACCAACTGGATCGTCGCCCTACTCCGGGCCGAAGGAAAGTTGACGAAAAAACCAAATCCATCCACTGTAAACTGGGTTCACGGGAAGGTTTCGTACGAGTACCGGATGAACAGAGTCCCCGATCAGTACACCAGTTCAGACTTTCAAAAAGCATTCAGTTTCGCAGTGGTCCGCAACCCCTGGACTCGTTTAGTCTCAGGGTTCCGGGACAAATTGTCCGATGAGAATACCCAGGGACCCTCTCTCAGGTTTATTGGTATGTCGGTTGTTCGGCAAATCAGGGGTATAAAAAACCGTACGTTGTTGAGAGAACTTTATCCAACCTTTGAAGAGTTTGCTAGGTGGTTAGTCAAGTGGTATGGTGTACGTAAGGTAAATGCTCATTTCATCCCTCAAACTGATCACCTATGTTTGAGACATGCAGTGTATGATTTTATTGTTCCTTTAGAACATTCTAGTAGCCTTGGTGAAGAGGTTTTGACGAAAATTAACGCATCTGATACCTCTCTGCTGGGCTCTTATGATGAATCTCAAGATCCGCGTCACCAGAAATCAACTTTGTTCGCGAAGAATTGGCTCTCTGAGTTAGATCAAGACCTCATCGAGCAATTGTACACTATTTTTATAGCAGACTTTGCCTTGCTAAACTATAGTAATTTCACGCACCCTGATTTTCCTCTCCCCTTACATACTATTTAGGTTATACGTTGATGAAATTCGCTTAATTTGTTGTGTTATTTTGTTTTGTGACCCGGCCCCCCAGACTACAAATTACGATCCCCCACAAGTAGTCCAATTAGCATGATCTTGTTATCAGTCGTTGTAAGGCACCCAGTGAGCTGATTGAGTTCCCACACCTAGAAGCCCATCTCAGAGGATATCTCATGAGCCTGATTGGGCTGCTAACAAGGTTGTGTCTGGGTCACGTGACCGGCCACCCAACCCACCTTGTTTGCGTGAACCAGCATGAGATATCGACTGGGAGCTGCCTAATCAAGTCACCTGACACTGCAATTATTAGCTTGACGAGCGTCATTAGACCCGTCTTGTAAGGTGCACACACCCTCCTAGTTAACATATTGTATAAATACTCTGATCACTAGCTCAGTGTATCCAGTTCCATCTCATCTTGTAATATCAAATAATCTCACCACTTCTACCATGATCAATTTCGAACCTTGCAATCCTCCTCTCGTGGACCCACTGTTCCTGAGCTGTATTACTCTAGGATCTGATACAACCCCCAAACCCCGGATATACCTTCAACAGGACCTCAAGATATCACTACCTCTGGAAACTTATACCAAAACATTTCCTCTCCGGCCTATAGCTATCAGACCTGATGTGAAGTCTACCTCTCCACCAAGAAACCTGTCAGACCAGGCTGCTCCCAACGTCACCATCTCCCCTCCTCAACAACCTGGCCACTTGTTAGACACCAACAGATGTGTTTCTCCTAGAACCTCACCAAATATCAGAAACAATAGAATTCCGCCTATCTCCTCTCCTTGTGATACTCTCACTCCCATTTACGATACTTCTCCTGGCAATTTTATCCCCTCAAACCTACCCGATAAGATTTCTCCTAATCTGAAGATATCTCCTAATCTAAAGAAATCCGTCAGAGCCAGTCCTTATCCTTCAAAGACATCGTCCAACACCACGCCCAATGCCACTAAATCGGAAAGACGACGGAACGAACGGCAGGGCATCTCAGAGACTCAATTCGCTATACTTAAGGATTGGTTTGGGAGATACACTTACCTGACGATAGAGAACAGAAAAATAGTCAGCCAGGAAACTGGACTTCCTGAGAAGACTGTAATGTACTGGTTCCAGAATCAGAGACGGAAAGTGAAGCGACAGAATACTTGCTAACATCATGATATAATTTGTTGATTATTTTGTTAGGGAATTTTATATATTTGTGAATAAACTCGTTAAATGGAATTTTACGTTCTTCTTTCGGGTTAAGAAAGAGAGTTTGAAATCATAACATTTTCAATTTGAAATACAAAATCGGTTAACCACTTCATCTGCAGCCAAAGTACATATATATATTATATCAGCCATTCAAATGTTATACAGAATCAAATTTGAGTGGTCTGAGCAGGACCTTGAAGAATTCCATACCAATCTAACAATTATCAGTTTGAAAACATCAAACTAACTCAAGGTCTAACTTTGTTTGTTACTGCAGTCTCAAAATTTTCGCTCGATCAAATCTTCTAAATGGTCCCCAGAACATATCCTGAAAGTTTTAGGGTGATTGCTCAAATGTAGGAGAAGATAGATTTTGAGACTCGATTTTCAGAATTTGCGATTGAAAATCGCTCGCGCAATACAATTACACATAAGCGCTGACCTTAGACCGGCGATAATTTCGGCTAGGAACAATATTTTTCCATGGGACCAAAAGCAGCTGGTAGATATCACTCCCTTCTACCAGAAACAACTATAAAGTCAATTTCGAGAGAATTTTTATGAAGACCCCCCCCCCCCGGCCCCCTTAGGCCTTAAGATCACATAACTGCGCATCAAATTGAAAATTACACAATAACATTTAATGTTCTTAAACATATGTATAAAAATTCCACTGGCCAGATAAAGCTATCTGGATTTGTCAGCGAAAAATTTGATATCAATAAAGGAACTGAACAGGGTCATCCACTTTCCCCTGATCTTTTTAAAATATACATTAGAGATCTTTCCCCTCGACTAGAATTTGATAACTGTCCAAAACTAATGAACCAACTTATCAGTCACTTACTATGGGCAGATGATCAGATACTCTTGGCACTGGACCCCAAAACCCTCCAAAAGCAACTCGATGCTTTGAACAATTTCTGCTTGGAATGGGGCGTCGAAATTAATGCAGATAAAACTAAACTCATGAAATTTAATTCCCGCTTCGATAATTATCAGCCGGTTCCCCTCAAAATAGGTAATCACTTGTTAGAAGAAGTCGAGTCATACTGTTATCTAGGAATCGAAATACACAAATCCGGCACATTCACAAATGCCCGAACTGAGCTCAAAAAGAAAGCCATGCGTGCACTTTATGGCATGAAAAGCTCAGTAAACAAATCCAAATTATCATTCCGTTCTCTAACAACACTCTTTGACGCTCTTATTAAACCTATCGTTCTTTACGGAGCGCCTATTTACACACCTAATATGGCTATCATAAAACACATAACAAAACAAGTCGATCTCAATATGGATCCCGACACAAAAACAAAATTTCAAACTAGTATCCTCAAGAAAATTAGTCTTCTGAACAGCGAAAAAGTTCACCTTCACTTTCTTAAATGGTCACTGGGTGTAAATCGTAAAACCAGTAACGCAGGCGTCTGGGGTGAGTCAGGCCGCTACCCATTAATCTATAAATGTATTAACCTCACTCTCAAATATACCCAACGCTTGAAAAATCTCAAAGATAACTCCCTTGTATCCTTAGCTTTCAAAGAACAGATGAACAGGAAATTGGACTGGTACAGAGGTTTGGAGCCTGTCCTCGCGCTAGACCCATGTTTCTCTACCGATCATGTCACAGCCTACCGCACACTCAAAAACAATCACTCCAAGTCAATTTTCGAAAGTAACCCGAGTATCGCAAAACCACCAAAAGAGGACTTTCTTATTCACAACGGTTTCAAGAAACGAATTCCTCCGCAATCAACACAACCCATCGGGAGTAAAATATTCACACCACACGTCATTACTAAAACTTTGAAAAGTTGCTTTAGAGAATATTGGGGGTCCTGTATCAACACTTCTCGGAAATTAGAATTCTATCGTGACCTAAAATCCAAATTTAACAAAGAGTATTACCTAGACAGTGTCATTAAATATGCAGACCGTGCTAATATCACAAGACTGCGGATCAGTGCACATCGACTCGAAATTGAACTTGGCCGATATAATCAAACTCCTCGCGATGAGCGAATATGCTCCTGGTGCAATATAGTCTTAGGTTCTGGTATTATTGAGAATGAAGATCACTTCCTTAACCATTGTGATCTTAACGCTGCATCGAGGCGAAAAGTCCTAGACAAGATCCAATCAATCATATCAAATTCAATCAAACCATCTGCGTCATCTTGTTCTGTTTACACTGTCATCCCTGGAGCAAACGTGCTCAAATTCATCAGCAACAACAGTGAAATCATTGAATTAATCACGAATGAAAGTCAAGTCCACCTCACGAGAGTCGTTGCTAGATTTGCCACTACGTGTTTTAACAACCGCAAGAAATTCGTCGACTCTCTGGCCAGTACATGAACACTGAAAATCACTGTACCAGCGCTTTTGTTTCTTTTCGCGCAACAACGAGTGCAAAGTGGCCTGGCTCAAGCATTACAGCATTACCAAGGCGATTGTAAACAAAATATTTTTTGTCAAAATCTTTATGTTTCACTTTAGTTTAAGTTATATTAATATAATAAATTCAAATCTTATGATATTGTTATTATCTTAACAGTTACTATTGTAGCTTAAGATTTTAAATTTGTATTCCTTGTATTCCTTGTATTCCTTGTATTCCTTCAATGTCTAGCATTACTCTACATTTCAGGTGGTCCAAAACATGCCTAGAAGCCCATCTCAGAGGATATCTCATGAGCCTGATTGGGCTGCTAACATGGGTCACGTGACCGGCCACCCAACCCACCTTGTTTGCGTGAACCAGCATGAGATATCGACTGGGAGCTGCCTAATTAAGTCACCTGACACTGTAATTATTGGTTGAACAAGGGTTGCTGAGATATTGCGCGCCAAAGTTTACATGTAATTACAGGTAAACTTTAACTTAATAAACCCAAAAAAGGTATTAAGTACTTTGAAAAAGATTGGCCATACCGAAGACCTGTCACTGGCACAGGTGTTCCTTGGGCTATTATTCACGAATGATATGCACAGAATTTAACATTTTCTTTTGTTCTTGAAATAAGTGGTCCCGATCGATCCTTGATCGTAGTACTACAGTCTCTGATAAATCCAAGATAACACTCAATAATACTCGATAGCGGCTGTTCTCAATATATTACACATTAAAATATGAATCGGCCTGGCCCGTCAAAACGGACCCCTCAGGGTGTCAACGTTGCGACTGTGTCATCACGTATTCTGGAAATCGTAATTCCAAAAATACACACCTGATATTAGTATTAGGTATAGCAGTTCCGATAAGCTCGCTATCTTGTATTATCATATATTTATCTGTTGCCGTAGTTGCGATAAGCTACTGCTTGAATACGTTTGTCGACCAATAACATTTCCGGAAAGACCCCCACGTGACAGCTCTGTTTTGTCATTGGAGAGTGATGGCAGCACAATTTTGAGTTTCAATACCACTATCAGTCATCGCAGTGAGTTTCAAATTTGTTCGTTTACCTAATCTTCTCTGCTGCTTATTCAAAATAGGTTGCTTACGTTTAAATCTCTATTTGCTTTCGTTATCTCTATTTGCTTTCGTTGTGTCTCTTTAGGGGCCTTTATGCACGTTTTGTGTCGTATTGCGAGGGAATGCAACCTGATTAGTACCCACATCACCACCAAATGCGATGCGAACTCTGATCAATCGCATTTTTTGCACGAACTGGCCAAACACGGGCTAAAGCTAATCGACTAAAAGTTAAGGGCAATAAAGAAGTCCGGTATATCGAGGTACCTGGTATAGAGAGGCACGGTATTGAGAGGTCCGACTGTAATAAACAAATAATTGATTCATTTTACCACACGTCATCTTTTGGAAACAAAGTACTGTACAAAACTTTAAAAAATACAGATTGATAGGCACTTTACAATAAAGAAACCTTATCTATAATACCATAATTAGACTCATTTGTCTTACGAGCGTTGTGAAGGCTGAACGATATCTGAACAGCAAATGAATTAAGGAATGAGCATCATAATATGCAGCCTAGTTATCCGGTTTAAGGATTGTGCCAGCTGCGTAAGGTTTGTCGTGCTACTTTGTTCGTCCAGTCTAATGAAGATGATAAAGGGTATAATGCCCTACATTTTGGTACTAGCACCAGTGACTATGTGACATTTAGTTTTGATATGTCCCCCTTCCGCAACTCGTTCTCTACGTGCATGTGGATAAAGCGTATCTACACCTCCTCCTACCCTACAGTAGTACAGTACTACAGCTCTGCTGGATCTGATCTTTATATGACAGCTAATGGGTATTACACTTATGTAGTAAATGATGCTGGTCTGGATAGCGCACGAAGTAAGTTTGTCACACCTGCTGGCCAATGGTTTAGTCTCTGTCTGACCTGGTCTCTGTCTTCAAGAACAGGTAACCTGTATCTGAATGGTGAACTTATAGGAACAGACCAGACATCATCAGGGAGGTCACTTACCACGGGCGGACAGTTGTGGTTTGGTAGACCCTCTAGCTCTTATTCTACTAGTTCTGGTCGGGTCTTTGGTGGGGAGCTTTACCAGTATAATATGTTTGCCGAGGTGTTGAGTGCTGCTACAATAAAGAAGATAGCTGATGATGGCTTGTGTTTTGACCTTGATGAACTTTCTGAGACAAGATTATTACGATGGGAGGACATTCTGAAGAAGTCTAGGAGTGGATCTGTGAAGGATAGTGATACAGGTTGTAAACAAACATGGGAGACACAAGCGAGTCTGGCTGATGCTATTGGACGGCTGAATGAAACAGAGACAGAGCTGAATGAAACAGAGACAGAGCTGCGGATGGTAAAGAAACAGCTCGAAACTCTCACCGGTCAGTTTGAAACTGTAACTGCACAGTTGAATGGGACTGAGGATAAACTTGAGACTGAAACTGGTCGCTTTAATGCATCACAAGCAGAACTGGACACAGTCAGAGGTCATCTGGAAACTGCAACTGCTGAGCGGAACTCAACAGAAGAGCAACTACAGACAGTCAGACGGCAATTTAATAGAAGCGAGGATCTCCTGGAAACCTGCTCTTCACAATTGAACAAGACTGAAGACAAATTGGATACAACCTCTGCTCGATTGAACTCTACGCAAGAGCAACTGGAGACGATCAAAGGAGAGCTAAGAAGTACGCAGTCCCAGCTAGACGGTGCCCGGAAGTTTAAGAACATCACTCGGTGGGATGTGTTATATACATCGCCGTACTACAACAAGATATTCACAGAGGATCTCTTTGGACAGCTCACAACAAGCTGGGAAATATTGCGTGAGTACAATTCCAATTTATAAATTTTATTAGATTGACAAAGGTGTTTTAAGATGAGAAATTCATTAGATTTAAACATTATTAATTTATCAATTGTAAATGTAATGACTTTTTTATCTTAATACGGTTAAGAAGATTTTGCCAATTCATTTCACCAGTCAGACCAGTGATAGGTACTTGAATATTACTATTTTCACATTTTCAGGTAATTTTGTTGGTGCGAATATAACGGAGGGGATAGTCAACCACTTTCAACTTTACCACGATGAGCGGTTTTGTGACGCCTTTGATGAACTATCCGCTGCCATGCTCAGTAAGTCAGAGCTGAGATTCGAATAAGTTTTAGGATTTAAAGCCGGAATGACTTAATTCTGTTCGAACTCAGCCGTGTTGTATTATTTGCAGAACAGTTTTACGGAGTTGAACTGACGTACGGTATCATTGATCACCTCCGACAGCATCTTGAGGAGTCAGCTTGTGACAACACCACTAAGAGTTAACTCACAAGAAATCGCTCACAAGTGCGAATTGTACATCTGGGACTGTCATTATATTAAAGTCACTATTGTGACGGTACATTAGAACTAGACAGAAACAAAGTGTGAAGGGCCTGAACGGAACCCCTCGGTTTCAGTTCCTTGTTTAACACTGCAGTACAGCAAGGACATTCGCCGGGTTCTCCAAGGATGGGCACATAGCTCACTCCACACAATGCTCTGTCAAATGTCAAATGTTGCCTATATACCAAGGATCTACAGGAAATATTTCCTTGTAAGTTTTAGAGGGCGATCTGTGAACCTCATTCCCAACTATAGGAACCAGAATTTCTATACTATCTCAACAAGCTACACCAAGCATAGATTCAGATAGTTCACGCCTATTTTTTGTAGACTCAGTTTTTTCTATTATATCTGGACATTATTTTTATTAATTGTTTGCAACTCAAATTTTTGATTACACCAGTATATCTCAAAGTCTTACGCCTTACGGTTGTCAATTTTTTTAACGCTTCTTTTTAAAATTTGTATTTTCTTGAATAGAGTCTGGCCTGGGCTACTGCATACTGTGTCATGAGAGACAGTAACAGTTTACAATTTTAAAATTTATGCAACAGTTACGCACTGAAACAGTGAAGCTTAAAGTAAGATGGACAAGATTAAAAACAATGATTGGTTGTCAAACTTTTACTTATTTGAGTATACTACAATTTTACCAGTAACAGTCTTTTACCAATTTCACATTTGGGAAATAAATAGTTTTATTTTCACGGCATGTTTGAAATCATTCAAAAAATTTCAAAAAAAGAATTACAGTCCAAATAAACTGGAAATATAGCTGTTAACAAAATTGATTGTCCAAGCTTAGCACGTAAATCCAACTGCAATCCATTCTACATTCCAAAACCTGGCTTCAACAAATCCTTTCCGAGTGTTAGGCCTGTTTGCCGCAATGTAAGTGCTGAATGATCCGATTTTGGCATTATACACGGCAGATGTTCCTGTAATTTCCCAGTGAGACCCGGAACCCTCAATTGAAGTTGTGATAGTTGGTATCTTTACAAACCCGCAGCCGCTTATATCCACCTCCTTGTAAACCCCAGTGGTTCCGCTGGTTTCGGCCCAGTCAGTAGTTGTTCGACCAGTTGTTCCGCTGCAAACTTTAGCACATTTTGGGTCACCATTCTCCTCCTCTCCATTAAGCACGGTCACGCTTGCTCCATTGTTGAGATCCCCCTTCAGGGCTTTCACTTCGTCTTCTAGTTCGGATATCTTACTGGCCATTGCTGCATCGTACACCTCATTCTTTTCCACTTTCAGCTTTAACCCCTGTATATCAATCCTTGCTGCACTTAGAGACAGCATCATGTCGCTTATCTTCTGGGTCTGCTGAACGACAACTTCTGTGAGGGCTATTGTGTTCTGCATGGACGCCATCAGCAAATCCTTTAGGTCGCCGACGTTGTCGTCCCGCTTCCGAGCCAAGAGTTCGTCTGTTTCACTGTTCGCTGCGATTACCACCACTAGTGCGAACAGTTGTGCGATTATGAGTTTCATTGCTGAAAATATTTGGTTGGTGAAAATGATGATGATCGACCGAGAATTAGGCGGTGAAATTGCTGATATGTGAAAAATATAAAAATATACTGATCGTCGCTCAGAAAAAGTCAGACGTTCCTAGATAATGAAAAATGTGAGTCGTGAGCGGCTAAAAGTATGGGCGCAATAGCTGTTTGCGCCGACCCAAATGTACATTTAGGATTTGATAATTCGAAAAAAATTGGATCGTCCGCAGTAAGGTATAATAAGTTGGAGTCCAGGGGTTATTTGAACTACACTGTATACAAAATTAGGTCAAACGGGACAGTTAGGGGAGCAGAACTCAGTCACATTCTGCGACACGTTGTACCTGCTAATCTAATCGAGTCTTACAACTGAAGAATAATATTAATTACAAATGAGTTTTCCAACTTGCTGACCTGGTTATAAAGGCAGAGATTTTACTTGTGACGAATAGCATGTGTACCCTGGTGATTGGACAATTACTGATGAGGTGGCATTCACTATGGCTCCCAACTAAGATTTTCTTACATCTCTGGGTTTTTTTATAGATAAGCGATTTGATTTGATTTTGATTTGATTTGAAGTCGCTTAATCCTTCTGATAAGATTTCTAACCCAAATGCGAAATTTTGTAAATCCAATTATCTAACGAACCACAGGTATGAAACATGACGTGTTCACTAAAATTTATCACTGGGCATTGGGCAACTTAATAAAGAGTCGTTCAAGGAGGATTCAGTCAGAATTGGGCTTCAGTGAGAACAGCCGTACAATGTACATATCCTACCTATGTCACCTTTGTTGAAGTTCGTTAAGCTTTAACAGGGCCATCACATTGTGTTGAACACCCCACACCAGCGAGTTTGAGCCGCTGATGGGTGGTGTATCTGTGTATCTTGGAAATACTGTAGATTCCACTTAACGACTAAATTTGACAACTGTTATTGTAAATAATCATTTATGAAGTAATTGTAAATTCAAATAAAATATGTAAAATTCACACCAATATTAGTTCTAGAATACAACATTATTTAGTAGAGTTCTGAGAAATATGTCGCTTCACTTTGCGTCTCTGATTCTGGAACCAGTACATAACTGTCTTTTCTGGAAGTCCAGTTTCCTGGCTGACTATTTTTCTGTTCTCTATGGTCAGGTAAGTGTATCTCCCAAACCAATCCTTCAGGATAGAGAATTGAGTCTCTGAGATTCCCTGTCGTTCATTCCGTCGTTTTTCCGATTTGTTGACGTCGGGTGTGGAGTTGGGCGATGTTTTTGAAGAATAAGGACTGGCTCTGTTGAATTTATTTAGATTAGGAGATATCTTCAGATTAGGAGAAATCTTATCGGGTAGGTTTGAAGGGATAAAATTGCGAGGAGAAGTTTCATTAGATTGAATAGGACCGGCACGATCAGTAGGAGAGGAGACAGGGAGGAGTCTGGATGCTTTTCTTGGAAAGTTTGGTGAGGTTCTAGGAGAAACACATCTGTGGGAGTCTAACAAGTGACCTGGTTGTTGAGGAGGGGAGATGGTGACGTTGGGAGCAGCCTGGTCTGACAGGTTTCTTGGTGGAGAGGTAGACTTCACATCAGGTCTGATAGCTATAGGCCGGAGAGGAAATGTTTTGGTATAAGTTTCCAGAGGTAGTGATATCTTGAGATCCTGTTGAAGGTATATCCGGGGTTTGGGGGTTGTATCAGATCCTAGAGTGATACAGCTCAGGAACAGTGGGTCCACGAGAGGAGGATTGCAAGGTTCGAAATTAATCATGGTAGAAGTGGTGAGATTATTTGATACTACAAGAAGAGATGGAACTGGATACACTGAGCTAGTGATCAGAGTATTTATACAATATGTTAACTAGGAGGGTGTGTGCACCTTACAAGCCGGGTCTAATGACGCTCGTCAAGCTAATAATTGCAGTGTCAGGTGACTTGATTAGGCAGCTCCCAGTCGATATCTCATGCTGGTTCACGCAAACAAGGTGGGTTGGGTGGCCGGTCACGTGACCCAGACACAACCTTGTTAGCAGCCCAATCAGGCTCATGAGATATCCTCTGAGGTGGGCTTCTAGGCGTGGGATCTCAATTAGCTCACTGGGTGCCTTACAACGACTGATAACAAGATCATGCTAATTGGACTGATTGTGGGGAACCATAATTTTTAGTCTGTTATTAGGAAATAGTCTAGTTAATCTGATCTCAGGATAGTATCTGTAACGAAGGTTTTTAATCAAAAGATCAAAGTAAAGAGTACAATTATTGGGCAATGGGCAAAATGTGTACCTTTATTTTGCACACCGTAAGCATGATCCTAAATTTTCCCACCGCAGGTCAGATCTTGGCAGTGGAAACCGTTCAAGAACTCAGCACGAAGTGATAATCTTTCTCTTCTGCATTGGAAACGATGCGACGACACCTCAAGTGATTACCCATTTGCCAAATACTCCGTCAAGCGTGAAGTGAGTTATGTAAATATTCGACTAACATTCCTCTAATATCTTTAAAGAGGGGCACACTGTACACACTGTAAATGTACATATCTATAATTGTCTACTGTCACGTTTTAAACCATATCTCCTTGCCAACATCAGACTCATCGCCCAGTACCATTTCTGATCCTTTTAATCAAAGTCTACCCTGATAGATACTGATGTACACAGATGAACAGTACAATGGTGTCCTGCAGCAGCCTGGTTGGACTCGAGCAAATACTGACCATCTCATTGAACTTGCCAACAAGTTCGACCTCAGATTTGTTGTTATGCAGGACCGTTGGGATAAACATATGTGAGCTATTTTAATTTAAATTGTGATCCTTTTTAATTATTTAATAATTATTTTGGCGACCAATCCTGATACTAACTGCACGGATTGCACTTTATTTTTGGCTTCAATTTAACAATCTCATCGCAGTTTTATTTTATTCCAATATGATACAAATATATGTATGCCACATCTTAAATATTCATGCTTTTATATAATAAAATATAACACTAACATACTATATACCAGACACGGTACAAGATCAGTGGAGGACCTGAAAGACCGTTACTACAGTATCCAATACAGACTTGATAAGCTCAGAGATTCTGAATCCGAGAAACCAAAGCGTCCTCTCTACGATGCAGACCATGAACGTTTACGAAAGGTCAGATAAGGAATCTCTTCAGTTTATTTTTTCTCATAACATAAATTACATTAGAAGTTAGAACCCCCTAGAATTAAATTTCCTGTTTAAAATAATTACACTTGTTCGATTCAAATTAGAAGTAAAACCGAATAGCATTTATCGTGGCATTGGCAATAATCATATTATGATAATCGTATTATGAAAGGAGTGATAACAAGAAAAAATACCCAGGAGCAATTAGAGAAGCTGTACAGTAGAACTAGAGAAGAAGTGGAGGAAGAAGAATACCTGATCGAAGAACTCAGGAAGATTGAAATCCGTAGAAAAGAGAGAGAAAAGAAACAACAGGTACCTTTTGCTGCTAGCTAGTAGTAGTATAGACTTGTCAAGACTTCTCAAACTGAAGAATAAATTTGAAATTCAAACTAGAACTTAGTTCGACCTAGTATGATATTTAAAAAGGCGCAGTTTATATCTCCAACTCCCCAAATTGCGCGCATTGTAGTAACTTCTTTCAAACTTCGCGAATCGAGATTAAATCTTTTGCAGTGTATATATTAAGAATCAATATAATATGCACTTATATAAATCACTTCGAATACTTTTGAAATAGAATAACAAGCTCAAAAACACTATTGTCTTATTTCTCCGTAAACAGCACAATAGCGTGTGTAGCTTTTGTCGAGGTGCCCCGAAAGTGACCTTAAACGATTTCCCGTTTAATTTTGGTCGACCCATGTCAACTAATAGTTCAGAATAAAGCAAATTGGATGTGCTTTCGGTGGAGATATAGCGCGCGCCATTTAAAATGTCAAATTGTTGTTTATCATCACTAATTTTACAGGACCTACAGCGGTTGATAAAAGCTGCTGATCAGCTGACCGAGACTGGACCATCAAACAAGAAGAAAAAGGCCTCCGCTACCAAGAAGAAGGAAGAAGAGACACGGTCGTGGAGGATTCAAGATAAGCCTCTGAACGCTGGAGTTAGTTTGAGAAGTGCTAAAACCAAACAAGCTCTCCAAGTACGTGCTTTAATTTCCGCCGATCGTATAAATTAAACTTGGTCACCATAATTATGATATTGTGGTGTTCAGTGGTACGGTGTTCTTTTGTAATGCACCACTATCTTAGAGGTCCCTTTGCAATAGGAACTGAGAAATGTATGAACTCTGAGCACTGAAATCTGATCACTATAATATCTGTCTGTTTTTCGTGAGTCATTGATATAACTTGAAACAATGTCCAGGTCGGTCTGAAGAAGTCTAAGTTGGTAGAGCAAATCTTGACTCAATTAGAAGTGGGTGTGTCACCTATGCCAACAGAGGAGATCACGGGGCAGTTTAACGAACTTAGGAACGATATCCTGTTTCTTCTGGAGCTCAAGATAGCACAGGAAACCCTACAGTTTGATATTCAAGCTCTAAAACATCGGGTTTGTTATCTTTACCATTTTACTGTTAGTTAATAGTTGCCTAAACCTCTGTAGTTAATCATCATACCGCTTTTTATTTCTTTGTGTATATTTACCACTGTCCACTAACAAACGGTGTACTGCTTATCAAGAGGATCTTGTAGATAAATTTTGGGCCTAGGCGTTGCCTAGTCGATCTGCTTGTACCAAATCCAGTAATCACTCTGACTCATGCGCACTACTATTCAGAAGGAGACGCTTGTTGGAGATCAGACACCAGCTGCCACGGAAGATACAGAAAACGAGGACGATCTATTTGCTGACACGGATATCATGGGACTGAACTTGGACGAGGCACTTGTAACGGCGGGTTTAACATCTTCCTGCTCTAGAAAGAGACGCGCCGCCAGCGAAATTGAGAAAGTCACTGCTCTTCTAAAAAAACAGAGGAAGAACAGTAAAGGTTGAGTTCTTATCAAACTGTGCTCTGGAAGCAGTCCAATGAGCGAAGAAAAATACTGAATTCGACGAGTATTGAGATTAGTTTCTGACATCGAAGTAACATGGCTTACTGCTAATCATTTTGAAAAATCGGGAAGGAACAGTTAAAAGTCTTAAAAAGTGTACAAAGTTAGAATTGTTGGATGACTTTCGCAATCGACATGGCCCTGAATACCTGCATCAGTTTTTATTGTCTTATAGTCCATATGTATAGGCAGGCTGTAGAGATAGCTTTACGAAACGTGTTAGGACTGGGATTTTCTTAGACGTGAACCTCAACAATTGAATCAATATATTATTTAAATTTAATTCCCTACGATAATTTGTTATGTATTTGCATCGATGTTATGATATTTTATATCGCGAATCTTTATTTTAGTTCCTCTTAGAGTTAGAATTAAGCCTTTATTTTTACCTTAAATGATAGTTCCCCTATCATAATAATATAACGATGACTACAAAAACAACAATGGTGAAATATTTGATAAGATTTATCGTAAAATAAATTATATTTTTAAGCAACTTATAACAAAAGAAAATTTTATCAATTGCAATTACATCATGATAGTATCTATCTATCCTATGGATGTGGATTCTGGTGGGGAGCTGAAGCATATTATTTTGAACACATGACAGTGATTTTGGTGTTTAATTGGTCAATAGAGAAAGCTGATTGGTTAATTGCTGCCACGTTTCAAAAAAAATATGTCCCACTTTCACACTAGAATCCACATCTGTCTTAGTATATTAACAGCTAGTCTGATCGAGTGATCGTGGAAACAATCCATAAAAGATTTTTATTTTGAAATTATTTGCTTACAACTACATCTGAAAGTTTATAAATCTATCAGGCAACCGTTTAGGTCTCTTCCTTTTCTGTTGCATCGTTTTTATGGTCCTGCCAAACTTGTTGGTTTGCTTTACCTCAATGTAAACAGAATCGTCACTCTCGCTGCTGCTGCTGAAAATGTTTTGCCTCATCTTGGCCCAATCCTTGCCCAATTCAAAGAATTCGATCTTCTGTAGGTGTTTCAGTGGTGTTCGATCGAGGATGTCTACAATCTTTTTAGAGCTCTCTGGACTGCTGATAAATTCCTGACGTTCACCTGAATAAAAATACAAATCCAGCTGTATTGGTTTGAGGTGCTCGAAGCACTGGAAATGTTTGAGTATTTTATTGACATCTTCCCCGAAAAGAATAAGCCCCTTCTCGAAGTTGAGCTTCATTTTCGCGGTCCAAGACCTTAGGTCGGTAATTTTACTTTGATCGTGTTTGAATTGTATCAGTTGTTTAGGTTTACTGTCAGCAATTCGCCCAGTTTCCGTGTCCTGATTGATATCGTCCTCATTTACAAAAATTGTATATTTTCCTAATTTTTGTTTTTGCAACGCCTTCTCTACATTGTACTCTGATTCAGCCAATTTTGCGAGAGCAGTTTCAATATCGGGCTGTCTTGTATTCATTGTTTGAAGAGAGTGACCGACCTCTTCGCCTCGTTTCAGATCTGAAAAATTTGTCCATTCCTTGAGGTATCGTACAACTTGTTTTTCATACATCATTGCAGGATTCCAAAGCAAAATATCCTCTTTGTTTCTATCGTCGACTCCGATGGTATCATTTAGAACCATCTCGAGTAAACTTTGAATGTGCTCGTCGACTAGTGATTCGACAACTTTCTGGGTCGCAACGAACTTAAGCCGATCAAGGTACATACTGCTGTGGATTTTATCTGGAGAGGACATTTCGCTGATCTTTCTCTTCCTGGAAGGTTTTAGAATTCCCTTGTTTGACTGATCTATGGTTAACTCTAGAGAGCATGGGGTTAAATCTGACGCTTGAGTCATACGTAATGATGAATTATCAGAGATCTTTCCAATCGGAAATGGACAATCAGTTGTAGTTGAACCCGTCTTTGACACACTTTTGGTCGTTAATTTATCAGTAGTACAATTCCGAGTGCGCTTCTGGTTCCGCGATTGCAACTTGACTCTGAATCTTGAATCGGTATTTAGAGAAGCTTGTTTCTTCCTAATTTCCGCTGCTGGAATAAAGCAAGGTATATGGGATCGCAGAATATCTGGTTCCGACTCCACCGATCTCAAGTATATCAACACTTTCTGACTAAACTCAGAACTCTGGAATTTGACTTTCTGATATCCTTGTACGATAACCTCCCTATTAAACGTTGAAAAACGACGGCTACGACCCCAAAGCCCATTTCTCTCCAAAATTTCATATTCAAATATTTTCCAGTTAACAACAATAATATGATGAATATCAATCACAGTCTTTTCATAGAAAATTTCATTAAATTCTTTGCGTAATAAAAGATTCTTCAGGCGAATTTCAAATTTTGATCGCTTCATCTTCTGTGGAGTAGTAACCACGGCTCCATTACCAGTACCACATACGGATTTAACTATTTTCCTGGCAGGTGAAAGCGGGATTTGAGCTAATATGGTGTTTTTTGGCGATAGGACTTTCATATTATCCCGATTAGATGTATTTCTGATTTCGTTAGAAAATATTTCTTTTGTGAATATGATGAACTGTTATTGCATATTTCAGTCGATGTAAGGTCATATCATGATCAATCAAAACTTTAGTCGTATAAACGTGCCATACTTTTCCATTTTTTCGGTTGAATCTGCAAATGGTTGTGTTACTGTTAACTGTTAGTGTTAGATCGTAATAATTGCGTACGAAAGTATGTAACTTGTAACTACTGCAGAGTGCAGTATATTAGTATCACTATAAGTTTTATCTTAAAAGCGGTGTTATTAAATTTCAATTTTTTATTATTATTAAATATTACTGGATTTTAATTTTAAAATGAAATGTAATCAAAACATAACACATAAAAAATAATAAAGTTCGTCAAATGTCAATACTAAAATCGAATCTGGAATCCAAAGTTCGTAATTTCGACTTATAGGGGTCCTTCACATATTACGTAATCAGCCGAGGGGGGAGGGGGGTTTCCAAATGATAACGCTAGTGTAATTTTGACACAATAGCTATGTGTAAAACTGATTACGGAGAGGGGAAGAGGCTTTAAAATCCCAAAAACTGTCCAAAAGTGATTACGTAATATGTGAACGATCCATTATTATATTTATAAGAAAGCACAATTATGAGACTAAGGACACAAAGAGAGTTTATTGCAAAATCGACGGAAGTTCAGGTAAACAACTAGAAATTCTATTTTGGTGTGGTCTGAAATAATTAATATTTAATTAGCCATGCGCGCGTCTTGAACACGTGCACGTTGTACTCTGCAAAGTTATTCGTTCCATGCACTAGCTTCGAGTGCACACGGGATGTGTATTGCTACTGCATACAATACACGCTGCATATTGTGCAAGGTGTAGCAACTGTACCCCTAGCATTGGATGACCACTGACCAGCCTTTACACTTTCTTTAAGTAGTCCTAACGCAAACCCTAAAGTACCAAAATTTAATTTTAATATTACAACCGCTATAACAGTATAAAGACTGGAACTATTTGTTGGTATCCCAGATCCCTATTCGTTAATCTTTTTAACCCGAGATCTGCCAAACATTTTATATAAAGTTAAAATTAAATCATACAAAACTAGGAAGCGCTCATAGCTCATTGGCGCCAACAAAATATTGGGGAACATGCAATGGCATGTTCCCCGATATTTTTTAACCGTTTAAATTTTCCTTTAGTTCATATCAAAAAATCGGCTTGACAAGATCATTGCTCTGCTATGCATAACAACAATATGGAAGGGTTGACATCGTCAATCAATGTGCCATCTTATCCATTATCAGCGAACCCAAATCAGATAATTTGTTTAATTTATATAAAATAAATTGTAAATAAAACAATCACGGCTACAAATTTAATAGCATGAAACGTTTAGCGCCTTACGTAAACGCAAACCGCGCAAAGGACCGATCTAACGTTGACATCTGACTTTTTCTCCTCTATCATTCCGTTTTCACCTTTTTGCATTGAACGTTGTTGACGAATGGTGATTGGTATAATTTAATTTTCGTTATTATTGAACAAGGGATACAACTACTCAGTACTAATGAAATTCTGACAAATTAATTAAAACATCATGACATATTTTCGTTAAAAAAGAAAGGAATCCGTTCTATTTCAGCGATTTCCATCAACAATATTAAAAAGCATGGGACTATTTGATCCGTACTCAAAACATTCGAGCATCAAATTTTCTGACATAACGTCGATGAATGTAAAAAATTCAATTTTAGATCTAGTAAACAATACTTTAAACGTAGACTTTACTTGCTCCAGGATGAATATAGGCGTATTTTCACTCAGAATATAACTGGCTAAAGCCACACCAATCGGTTCCCCAATATCCTTTGCATCGTCATTAATAACCATCAGCTGAGATGTTACGAGATCAAGTGTTGCATACAGTTTGCTAGAAATGATGAAAGTTTTGTTTTTCTGTTCAGAATAGAGCAGATGCACAGAACATGTTAGTCCGTCTAACGGCAAGACACACGTGTTGTCCACATGTTTACCCATGAAACAGCCCAAAGAAACCATCCTTATCTTATCAAGGACGTTCATATCGAAATGCAGCATCTTGTTGCTCGGCAAAGTCATGTTATCATCGATACATTCGCTTACTGGAGATAAACTAGGTGGTTCCTGGACACATTCCTTTCTGAATGCCAAGGATTTCAGTTCGCGATGTACACCATGTTTCAAGATTATATCTATTAAATCCATGTCATCCAAGGGCGAAGTGGTTGTGTCTGAAGATATCTGTGTAGTGAATGAGACTCGTGGAAATAATCTCTCTGCATTTTCTGGAACAGTTTCTTTCACTGGCGGGGTTTTATCTGTCTCTAAAAACGAGTTCTGTTCAGTTCCTATGATTTCCTCTCGACTCTTTGGGATTATGGATTGGCTGGCATAAATTTGATGTAAAGTTTCATCTCCAAATTTGTCCTTTTCACATGATAATATTACAACGTCTTCGTCTTCGTCTGAAGACAATGTGGAACTGGAATCGTTTGAGTCGGCATTAAATGGATTAAATACGAATCTGATGTCAGGAGTAGATGAGAAGTCGGGATAAAGGAATGAGTTTATGAATCTGGCGCTGCTCATCCTGAAACTCAAAGAAAAATTCAAGGCACGTTTTTTCCTTTTTCAGAGAACATCATGAAAAGGGCCGGGGTCGTTCACATATAACGTAACCATGAGGGGGGGGTTTAAATGATTACGCTAGTGTAATTTTAAAACGATAGATGTGTGTTAAATTGATTACGGAGGAGGAGGGGTTAAAATTGTTCAAAAAGTTATTACGTAATATGTGAACGATCCATGGGATGATTTAGAGTTAGCGGTAATGATCACTACCAATTAAAATGTCCTCTTGTTTTTAATGAGCATTTTAATTTATTAACTTTAAAGAGATTATTGATCTGAACCGCCAACTTAAAATCGTTCCACAATAGATAAGATATTATGGTGTTTCCCAATTTTGGAACATATTTTCGTAAGTATTTCAATTATACAGTTTTGATTTTAAACATGAACTTTTGATACATTTTTAATCTACATCATTTTCAAAGACAAAGAAAGTAAGTAAGGTATACGTTGTAATAAATTCAAATTTGATTATGTAAATATAAAATCTCATACAACTACATATTATGAAACCTGCAGTTGCTGTCTGTTTCATCATGTACAAAATGTACAAAATGTGCACTTGATATGTTTACAGTTTTAATTTATTTACAGTTTACACACAAATTAGTCTACAGTACAGTATAAACCCTCATTTCTGCTGTCTATCTTTAATTTTAATTGGAAAGCTGCGGTAGTAAGCTTGGCGACTATGTATCACTGAACTTAAAAGGGTACAAACAATCATTAAAAACTATAAGAAATGATAAAACGTTAAAACAAGGAATTTGACATTATTAGGACTCCTGAATAGAACTGTGAAAATAATGCGGCCTAGGACCTTTACTTAGTAGGACGTTATAAGTCGATCAATAAAAAACCTAATTTTCTATCTGAATTCTAAACCCTATTATAAATTTGAAACACAACTTGAAAAATAACCTTTGCCTCGAAGCAATCATTACTTTATACACAAAACTGTACAACATAGATGTTAATAATACAATAACTCCTACTCCTACAGATATTGAGAGTTCGGGGAAGTTTTAGGGAATGGACAGAATGGTTCGGCGTTTAGGAACACGATTGTGTCCAGAATCCTTGTTATTGCTTCTCTGTGCCTTGAATTTATTTTCCAGTAAGTAATACAGTCCCCCAGGATGCGTTTCCTTGCTTTTTGTAATGTCAGTTCTTTTCATTTGAAGTTTGAGACTGTTCAGTTGACTGACCAGCTCTCCGGTGCGCAGTTTATCATCATCTCGTTGAGCATCCTGATTCCAGCGCCGGGACCTCCGTGAATCCCATCTTATCTATAAAATGGAGGTTGTAGAAATTACATCATATCGATAAACTTTTTTACTGAAATCAAAGAGAGAACAAGTGATCGAATGATTGATTGGTAGGTCGTGCGCAGTGCACACCTTAGCCGTGATTATACTGAATTTTCGCAGATTCCGAACTTTGTTCATAAAGTAGTATACCGTAAATTGGTATTTACTTGGTAAATCTGTAAATAATTAGAAAACTAAGACTATTTCAGCACCCACCTTGCTGCTAGCGTAGTCACCACCGCCCATAACCTTACTCCCGTCACTACTGACACTTTCCACATAAATCTCACAGCGTTCAGGGGGGCGCTCCTCCTGTTTAGCACTGTTGCGCAACATGCGGTTAGCTTTGTTGCGCCGCTTGTTTGCGGTCTGTTGTCTCTTCTTGATGATCTGAGTTACCTCCTCATCCTCCGTTTCGTCCTCTTCTACTCCTGCAAGAGGTACAAGTTACTTACTAACTTATTTTAAAACTGTAGCTAGGACACAATTAAAATTCTATTAAGATTGCCCAATGCAACCGTACCATTCCTTCTCATCATAATAACAGTATGCAAATTAAAACCTTAGTACATATCACATGATGTACCGTAAAATAAAAAGCACACCTTCAACAGATTCTGAGTCCTGGTCGGTCTGATTATTGAGGGATCCGAGTGAAGGCTGCTTCTCCAGCTTCTCAACAGGAAGTGTCTTTGTAACAGCTACCCCGCACGCCAACTCCTCGTACAGGAACATGTTGTATTCTGACGTGGGGAACGACCTGTCGCCCTGTGGTTAAAGATCATTACAAAATACAATAAAACATCACATGATGAAAGTTACATTTACCTAATATTGTATATGGGTTATTAGTAATAGGGGTTATTAGTTACAAGACTAATCCTGTTATACGTTTATCTGTAACGTTTCTCTGAATTATATGTACATTATACGCAAACCTAATCAATATGATTGAAATAGAACATTACTAAATCTCACTTGCTGTACCTCGTTACTGTTGATAATTATATCCTCGTGATCCTCAAACATTTGTATCAGATCAGCAGGGTAGGCACTAAACTTGGACTTGTCCAAATCAGCCACTATCTGTGGTATTGTGTGCTTCATCTTCTCACACCCCTGGGTCACGTGATGTGGTGTTGCAATATTTCTTTAGAGATTTTAGTGAAAACAAATCTTCTCACATAACTACTGTCTATCTAATGGTGCCTATAAATGTGAGTCAATTTGTTCACGCGAAAAATGATAAACATTTTGTTGTTCTTCAGATCTAAGTATTTTACCTGAGGGCAAGTTAGAGGGTCGAACCTCAGGGCCCGTTGTCTACAACAAGGGTAAACTCCAACTGCTGCTGATATTTGGTCTTCGCCATCCTTAAACACTAGAAATAGTTGTATTACTTAACTTGCTGACAAATATTGACAGTTTATAAGGGATCGAGATTTGTATCAGCTAAGATGAGTAACTATAGAAGAATAATAATATTATTTCAGTTTAATAGCAACAAACAATTTGCCTCACTACAATGATGATTCAACCGACTTTTACAAGAAGCCATTCTTTCATTTTTAACAAATCAAAAAGCCTAAATAACAAATAAAATGTTACCTAATAACACAACAGCTCCTGACACGAGAAAATGTAAAACCCTTCAACAAACCTGCTCTCTCCGGATGGTACAGACACTCATAGTTCTCATTAAGTGGGAAGGTGTGATGACACTTTTCACAGGTCATGTAGTTGAGAGTGGCCCAAAGTGACCAGTAGATGTCACGCCATGTCTTGCTGGCAGTTCTCATGGTGACCAGGTGGTCACTCATGTTGAACAGCAGCTGTGGAAGGGTGTGTTAGAGGGAGGGGAGATGTTTATTTAGATGAGATGAGTTTGTGCTTTACAGACTGTGCAGAATTAAAATATGCTGAACGAACTTGGAAAAAGTAGTTTACAAGTTTGTATGATATTGCGACTTTAGACACATACCAACGGGTTGCAATTTACAGTCAGCATTTGATTTGGAATTAATAAGGCACACTGCACAGTGTCCATGTAGTTCTATAGATAGACTATATTATCATAATGATAATGTCAAGACGCACATTCAAAGTTGATAGACTCATATTGAAAAGACAAAGCTGTCTAAAACATAATCAGGTGATCGCAAATTATCGATAAACTGATTAAACTGATTATAACCTGATTATAAACAGATTGTAAACAGATTTAAAACTCACGTCTTTGGAGTGGCTGTAGTTGAGTACACCGTTATAACCGACTGTCATTCTGCCCGTCGTACACGGCACCTAACACTTTTAGATAGATCAAACCATGGACTTTTCATTATTTGTTTATTGAAAGAATTTTAATTCTTACTTTGATATACGATTTTTAAAAGTTAAATGATGAATAATGGTAATTTAGAGAACATGTTTCCGAGCCATATAAAGAATTATCGCTCATAATTATAAATGCTGATTTTTTAACATACTTTGCCCTGAAGCTGGCCGGAAAGAATTCGTTTGCAGTTGGTACACCTGAATATATCTGATGTTTCACTGCTACCTTCCAGAAGGGATTCCACCTGTCAGGATGAAGCCTGTTTAGTGAAGGGTTTTGAAGGTGCATTTACTGTATAACATACTGTGTAGACACATTACACATTACACATTACACATTACACATTACACATTACACATTACACATTACACATTACACATTACACATTACACATTACACATTACACATTACACATTACACATTACACATTACACATTACTTTTTAAAAGGTCTGCATTCCCACCTTCTTAGCAAAAAGTTTACTTTTAAACTTGTCCTTCCTGTCCCTGATAACCTCGATCTGCTGCAGAGAAAACAACTGAGCTATCTCCGTGAGGATCTGACCGCTGATGCAGTTCATGTTACAGGGGGCAGATATTATCTCGGATATGTGCTTGTGACAGTACTCAATACAGATCCTCACCAGGGCGTCCATCTTCAAGAAATCTGTAAACAATGTTTAATATTGTTAAATCCAACAGTTAGGATATTACAATAAAGCTTCACTTACAATTGCATTATAAATCCAACAGGAAGTGTATTTTACAGTTAAAATGATATTATATAATATAATATATATATATATATATAATAACATCTATAAACAAAAGAGCACCTAAAGAGGCTCAGCAAAGTGCTGGCCTATTTACGCTTACGAAGACTCATTCGTTCAATATGTCTCAAAGTAAATAAACTCCTCCATCCTACTCTATCTCTTGCTAAGTTCACTAAGTTGGTAAAATCGTCTTCATTTTTCAAATAAATTTGTCTCTTAAATAGGTCCTTTTTTACAATAATATCATACAAATTAGTCCTGTGTCTACCCACTCGTCCCTTTAGTGTTTGACATCCTAGTGTAGCAAATAACAGAGACTGGTAGGCAGGCGTGTCGTTGTCACTGCGTAGAACATGACCTAGCATTGTCCACCGTGCCTTTTCCACTCTCTCGGAAAGGGGCCTGGTCTGGGTACGAGCGTAGAGGGCCTTGTTAGATATTGAGCTAGGCCAATAGATGTGTAGGATGCGCTTGAGGTGCTTCCTCTGAACAACATCTACAGACTCTAGAACATGCTGAGGTACGGCCCAGCAGCAGCAGTTGTACAGGAGCACTGATACTACTAGTGAGTCGTAGAGTTTGATCTTTCTCTTCTCAGTTATCTGACTCCTCTCTGATCCCTGGCACCACAGCTTGTCAAATGACCAGAAGGCAGAGTTAGCTTTATTTATTCTATTAGTAACATCCTGCTCTGATCCAAGCTTAGTACCAAGAAGCGTCTCGTTTCTCCACTCCTCTTTTCCTCTTAGTTCATTACCCCACTCGTCACAGGCACCAACTTCCTCCAAATACACTCTGGTAAACTTTGTCTTTGTGTCATTGACAAAGAGACTCCATTCACTGAGAATATTCTTGGAGATCTGAAAGATATCCTGTAACTCCTCCATATCTTCACCTATCTCCTCTACATCGTCTGAATAGCCGGACTCAAGAGGCATGTGGTTATCGGCTATCGGAGGGTTGGGTCTTGAGGGGAGGACTGCTCTTATGTGCACTACAGCTCCAGCTAGATTGAGGGTAAACAATTTACCAGCTGTGCTGTCTCCTTGGGATATACATATTACAATTAACAAAAACGTCTATTGTTTTCTTATTTCTGAATAAGTCAGAAAGTCAGAAAACAACCAAACAGAATATTTAATTTAAAAAGAGGAATATGGCCCAAAAATGTAAATTTCCAAACCTGAAGAGATAAGAATAGAAATGACATTGTTGGGTTCCAATTTGGGCATGTTTTGGCACTGAGTGAGCGGCACGGATTTATCTCTCTGCACGTAGCGCATCAGCCAATCGAATATCTGAACATCGCAGTGTACCGAGATGTCCACCTAAATAGTTGAACCATAGTTAAACACAGTCTCACAAGCACACTTGAAAGTTGTTGGGCAGCTGTTCCAGCATCATTACATGCTCCTTGTTTATTCTCTTTATGTTTTAAAATTACCATGTGAAAAACGTGAGACGTTTCATTCTGTGAATCCACATCTTATGACATCACAATTCAATGCGGTTTGAAAGTGTACAAAAGTTATTATTGTTTAAGAAATTGTGCAACAGAAAATGACGCAGTCGAAGCAAAGATTCTGTGTTGTATCCACTACAATATCTAAACTAAGGTGCACATCCTCAAGTGAACTGTATTATTAACGAATATCATTTAAACATATTACGTTATCAGTTTTTGGCCCATTTCTAATCCCCTTCCCCCTCCGTTATCAGTTTTACATGTATAGCTAATGTGTTAAAATTACACTGTAATCAAGTAGAAACCCCTCCATCCCCCTCAGTGATTACGTAATATATGAACGACCCCTAAATGCACAAACCTCTTCGCAGTGTTTGACATCAGTAGCGAGGTACTCCGCAAAGTACTTCATTTCCTCAACCAACAAGTCACGAGAACAATGGAAATCCTGGTTGATCTTCTTGCTCTCATCACACACGTGTATTACAATGGTGTTCTGAGCGGAGCTGCGTGTTTTCTTGCTCCTCTTACCCTCTTTTGCTGGTTTTGTGTTGTTGCTCGTCCCGCTGCTCTTCTTACTGAGATTCGCTTCGTCGGACATTTTCTAGCTCACTACTTCACGAGTTTTATAACTTGTCTACAATGTAGACTACATAGCCCTAGCCACTAAAGTAAAATGCGAGTGAAAAGTTGGCGTGCATTATTTGAAACAGAGTTGAAATCTTCAAGTTAAATTCATGAGGTTTATATCGTTAAAGCAGTTTACAACTTAACAACGGATGTTGGGTATTTCAAATCTCCAAACTGAAACATACATATTATCAGGAAAAGCACATTAGGATATAAGCTGTAAAAACTAAAAATACTGACAGCAACTAGATAACCTAACAACTTCAACATTTATTTTACATGCATCGTATAGTAAATACTGCAACACTCAACACTTAATCTAGACAAAGTGCAATTAAGTTAGACAAGTATAAGATCAGCTAGATGAGCATAAAATCTAGAAGCTTTAGATCAATTTTGTGGGGTAAGAAAACAGATCAGGATACTTAAGACGTTATAGTGACAAATATTTATAAGTCATTATGAAATATTTAAAGCCATTATGATTAAGTGATTATGTAAGTGAACGAACAAGGTCACATAACTGAAATCCAACTCGCTTAAAACGAGTAGCTGTAGCAACGGAGATCCTCCGAAAAGTGGTAGCTATGGCAACAGAAATGCTCGACTAGCGGCTACAAAGTATAAGCCCACAGGTGTAGAAGAAAGCCCAAATAACGTTGACACGCAATGAGTAATATGCAGCAAGATGCCAGGGAGCATCAGGACACATTGCGTGTGACAATATGCTCGACAAGTGGCACCGGCGTTGCACACACTACATACTATTATATTGCATACATAACGCGCTCTCGGCGGTGTGCTGCGTCACTAGACATGCACATATTTCATCGATAATCAATTTATGCTTCATGGAGAGTAGCATAACACGCAGTGTATACATGTTAAATCCTGTCATTGAAGTTAGCTGAAGCCTGAAACGTTCAACAAATATTGACAAGTTCGATTTAACTAAGTAACATTTTACGTGTGAGGAAAATAAATAAATCGTTTAAAATTTGAGAGCATCATGGACAACCCTGCATCATGCAGATTTTAGTTAGTAAGCATGCATGATATTCGCGAGAAGGTTAAAACTAGGGAGGAATGCCAGAATTAAAGGAGTTATGAAGGAAATTTGTAAAAATCATTTAGCTACAAGATCTTAATCATTACAAACAACTTGCTAATAATTGTTCAAAACCGCTAAAAGTAGTCATACATAGATGTTTCTCAGTAAAAGAGATAATCAGCGAATTATATCAAAATAAAATAACAAAATACAGTATGATATTCAATCAAAAACTGTCGAAACTTTAGCCACCTTCAAAACAACCTTATCACTCATAGCATAGAACTAAACGTACTTTTTTATCATGCTATTTCTTTTAACTATATTTAAAATCACGAATTATTTATACTTAGCTGTGTATCTCGATATATTTTCAATATTAAAAGTCCACCCGGCAATGTTCACATGATAAAATAATGGTCGATAGATTATAATGATGCAAGAAATTAATGAATTGAATATAATATGAATTCTGATTATAATCCATAAAACTGAAAACCGGTACATTAACATCAAGCTATCAACATTACTATGTAACATTTAAATCTCTATGTTCTTAACCATACAAAGCTTTAAAACTTTGTAAAAAGTGAGCAATACTTTAAGGTTAAAGAAATCTTTCGTATCATTGAATAAACGTTTGATCAATAATTTGAGGAAATCTTTTTAAATTTGAAAATACATTTTATACTTAATAACACAAACTCTACTTGGCCAGCTCGTTAGTTATTTCAATAATTTGCCTAACTTAGGATATACACATTTTACATCATTGTAAGATAAGTTCCGATAAGAACTCTAAACAATTGCTTGCTAATTACTATTGCAAAGAACAAGAACAGAAGTGTAATCGAGGAGCAGAAAACATCGACTGAAAAATCTGCAAGCCAATAAAATTGATAAAACATCACTACAAAACGCAGATGAACCGGAAAATTTCAGGCTTGATCAAAATTTCACATTGAACACATGTTCCCAGTGCATCACTTATTAAAACCAATAAGGATTAGCTTCTTAGGGCAGCAAGACGCGATTGTAAGTCGTCCTCCTCCTCTGACGACTCCTCCTCACCAGCGGGCCCTGCAGTTTCCTCTTCTTGTACAAGTGGAGTGCTGATGGCAGTTTCATTACCAAGCTGTCCTTTCGTCAATTCAAACAGGATCTTTTCTACCTCACCTTCAGCAATGTCATCCATTTCCTGGTATTATACCGTTTTAATTCTATTATCATTCCTGAGCCCTTATTTAAAAGTGAATATAATCGTAATATGTTGCTGCCAGCACTAATAAACAACACGTGATCGTTTTAAAATATTATTCTAGGGCTCATTATTCATTGGACCTTATATATCAATAATGAAATATAGCTACCATTTTTATAAACATTGTTGTAGTTCTAGTTAAAACGATTAATATTATTAATAATAATAAGAGCTATAAACCTCATCATCACTCATAGCCATTGTATCCTCCATCATTTCTTCCATGATTCCTGCTTTGGTCATCTCTCTTGACAATTCTTGCATCGTTTGTGAGATCTCTGATACCTATCAAATGTTCAGTCAATGTTCACATTCGATAATACAGTTTGAGGTTGTCACTTGAGACCAACCAAGAATTCAAATCATCAATCTGTGACAAACAATTTCATTAAGTTCCAACTGAGCTTCATTTTAATCCATAACAGATTTTTTGTCAAAAAGTCTCAAAGAATGAATAAATCTAAACATACCTTAGTCAACTTGTTCATAAGTTTCATAACGTCAGTAGATGCTTGCATTCCTTTAGACATCCTGACCATGCTTGCCTGTGACTCCATCTGCATAACTACAGAATTTATCTGTGCTTTACTGGCATGCAGTTTGCTAACTGCTCTTTGAGAACCAACGATTTCCCTTGCCAAGATCTTGCAAACATCCTTGTCTCCTTTCTTAGCTGCCTCTTTCAATGAGTTTTTCACCTTGAACAATATATTGAAGATTGCTCAAAACTGAATGTGATAGTATAGTCACCCCTATTTTTTTTCAATTAAAATGTAAACTTTTCAAGGGTTCTTAGCTTTAGAAGTGAGGCAAGCAATACAATGATACAAGTGTGATCTGAGCATTCAGATGAGACCACGAATTATTTATGTGCATCCTGTTGGGAGAGTAGAACACCAGTATTAATTTTCCATTCACACTCTTTTGTAAAAAGGCAATAGTGAAGGTTACGAATGGACGTTTTTTTCACAAAAACGTGGATTTTGGAGATTGTGGTAGGTGGGTTTAGATTTCATGTTCAAGCAAGGGTTGCTTGCGGAGATGTGATGTATAGCCTGTAGCAGTCAGTGCATGCGCGGCACGAGTGTATTTTAATGTATTAGGCAATAAGCCCAAGTTGTATGTGACACGCGTAGTGTACTGATGTGTACAATTATAAAGCATGAGTATAGTTCAATTTTTGCTTACAATTCCTTGAATTACAGATATAATTTAATTTCTACGGCAATTGAATTGAATCACAAGCGTTTCCCTATTTAAAGCATAATGTTCATATTACAAATGAGCTGATTTAGATTAGAGCTTTTAGTGAATGGAAATCTAGCGTCTGCCACAACGAAACAACAATTGGGGGCAATTCTTGTTAATCTTATTTACCTTCATCTCCTCGCGTTTAATTTGATTTATGTTTCTGTCTATTCCTCTTTGTTCAGAGCGCATTTTCCTTTTCATCTCCCGTATTGTCTCTCTTGGGTCCTTTGCTTTGGTTTGCCCAAACAAACCCATACTAGCAGGCTTTTACTTCTATTTTTCAATTCTTGCTAGGGAAATGATTAGAATTAAATGAATTTAGTTTACAATCGAAAATATGCCTTATCGTAAGTAAACCTACTTTTGTATAAACCATGGTAAGAGCCCATACTCACTGCAAGTATTAAAAAATAACACTCTATTGCTTGTATTGTGGTTGAAGAAGTTTAACTGTATTACTTTGGACAACGGTGATTGAAACCTACACCTGAATTATCTTTAGTGCATATATTTACTATTTACTGTACATCGGAATTTGGAACTTTGGATAACGTATTATTACTAGTAACTATTTTCAGTAAAGGTGGCATAACAAAAAGTTCTTAATTCTGTCTCACTGCAAGTACTAAGACAGGGGTGTTGGGAAACTATTACCAGAGCAAAAATTGTAATTTTCCTCCTAGACTCAAGGACCCAAATCCTCGTATTAGAGCATTTTCAAAGCACAAAACAAAAAAAGCACAACTGAGAAATTCACCCAGAGCATGTGTCTGACTAGAACAATTTGGGAGCCGGGAATTTGGTAACTGAAATTAGGTTACTGGATAGCATATATAAGTCAACAGTGGAACTATTTTGCCGACTAAGTCTGCTGTGAAAATAACAATAATAAATAAACCTGACTTTGTGAACACATCCTGTAACTCAATCAAATCAAGGCTAAACCGATCTCTTCTAGATGCCCAAAGCAGGTTCGATAATGAGTGGCATAATGACAACTTTAACAGTTTTGGACCATGCTAGATTATTGATAAAAACGTGGAATTTATGTAAACAAATACTTAATTACTAAAATATTGCCGTTTCCGTACGGCGCTATACGTAATATATGTTAAAAGCGCGCCGCAGCTACTCCCTACCTCAACATTTGCGCGGGTTTCTTAAGCGCGCACGTACGTTTATTCTTGGCCGTTAATCAGACCCATGACATAACGCTATAGGTGGCAGTGACTGTAATTTTCTTCAACAATTACTGAATTATCCATCCATAAAGTGATTTACAAAATGACACCTAAACCTCGTGTTTCGGTGTTCACTTAAACGGTACTTGGCGGCTGAACTGTGGTGTCTGACGTTTGCAGCTAGATCGGACTCTGCATGATATTGTATTAGCAAATTTGTATAGTGTATAATTGTTTAGTGTTTATAATACTCTGCAACCTGGTAGCACGGCTGACACAAAAACAAAATGTTGGCCTGGCTTGTGCATAACCAAGTAAATAACACGCACTCCGATAAAAGCCGTCTGGAGAAACTCCGCAAAATGTTCATTGTAGTCAACGGGCACAAAGAAGCACTACTAGCAATTGTGTCCTTTACCCTCCTACATAATTTGAACATTTTTGTGGCTAACTCATTGAACAACATCTGAATTAAAATGTGTCTAGTATTAAAAGATTCAGTTAGTAATTTTTTTATGTACGCTGTTAGTAAATCAAATCAAACTTTTTCGATCAGCCGCGCGCTGAACCAGTGTTGCACTAGGTAAAAATTGTGTATATTTTGTTCATTTTTGAGTGTAAATTAATTTATTAATTTATCACAAATTATTTTATTATAATATAACCACTTATGTGAAATGGTTATTTTGACTTTAAATATTTGAACTAAATATGAATTGATTGTGGGTATAAAATAAAATTTGTTTTACTAAAAAATTTGTTTTACTAACATAAATCGAGAGAAACAAATGTTAGCACATGGCGAGGCTCGACCCTACAAATATTTGATCGAAAAAGTGCATTGAAAGCAATACCAGTTCATCGAATCATGCCAGACCACCAATCTCACCAGATATGTATTTATCATGTCAATGAGTAAAAGGTCATCCAAACAATATTATATATTCATTCAATTAAATCAAGTGATGCAATTGGCAGAGCACAATACACAGGTAACAGAAATTTTCCACTGCAACCAATATTATATGAAATATCAAAAACCAATTATTTACACATCTACTCCATCTAATCATAGTATAGGGGCATGGATGAGGTTATAAGAGACTTCTGATAGAGCGAGGGGTCTCATATTTTTTGTCCATTTTCTTGCCTCTTAGCCTCGAAGAGCAATGAGCGTTGTTCTTAACATGTCAATGTGGTGAAAAACATGAATAAATAAACAAATTTCGTGACAATCATAAGTACAGATATACTCAAATCTAAATCGTATTTTGAATAAGAATACAAAAGAGTAGTCAAAATTCGCAGTTGTTAAAAGGTATTTTAAAGAGGATTTTGGGAGCGCTCGATTTTAACTGTTTTTCTTTATAAAAATACATATCCAATGTGCGCGGCGCGACTCAAATTTTAATTGGATTGTTACTCGTCTAAATTTCTTCGAAGTAGCGCGCGCCGGGCCAAATCATTAACAATGGTTAAGATTTGTCTGAAATTTTTGTAATTAAAATGGTAATCAAAAATAAAGTGAATGAAATTTTAATATTTTTAAATAAATTATTTGATCGTTAATACAAAATACTGCTTTAATTTAAACAATCAATATTATAATGTTGCTTTGTTTTTAAAATATTGTTGTACATGTATATGTATGTGGTATGATGTATTATTATTCAAAAGCAAAGCGAAACAAACATAATTATGCATACAATGCGTTAAAGCGCCAACTTCCCAACTTAAACATTTGAAATACCCAGTGCGAGCTCTGCACTCGTAATGTCACATGCGCGTCTACAAAAACATTTTCGCGCGATACGTTTTGATAACAAGTTAATTCTTCCGGTTTGTCACAATTTCGGCCGCGAGCTGCACAACATTACACACTATAGTGTAGAAATAAACGCGCGTCAAACTTTCAAGTCATGAATTAATTCATTTTCGATCTTGTATGCTAAATTATTAATAGCAACTAATGAACAAAATATTCGAATTAAAAAACTCAAAACTGTCAACTTTTAAGGTTCAAATTTTATCACAACACACAATTCATGTTAAGTTTCAAATACAATTTAAAACGTTTTATTTAAAAAGATCATTATGACTACCGGGTAATATTTGATAATATTCAAATTCTGAATACCGAAGAGTTTATTTTCAATTTTTTTAAACTGATGATAATCGTTCGCGTTTTCAGTTTGGCGTCTAAAACATAAAATATGTTTATACATTATACATTATACAGGATTTTCTGCTCAAAGTCGTCAAACGAAACCTATACTAAAAGTCAAACTAAATCTTGACTACTAAATTACCACTAAATTGGGTAATGTAATGACCATACCACATAATAATTTAAAATGTTCTAAAAAGTAAATTAAAGCTACTTGGTTTAGTTGTTTATATCTTTTTAACTTTTAAACGGTTATTGAACCAAAATGCAAATGTTCATTTTAAATTTTCCTTTCCACTTTTGAGGTTTTACTTTTGGGAAATTTAAACAGGTAAGTACAAACAACAAAGGAAATCTTTGTATTAAGCATTTTAATACATTAAATTAATCCGCACTTGCTTTGTACTGGTTGTAATAAAATAATTATGTTTATTATTGCGCGCGCGCGCATTTAATGGTATCATGTTGTCGATTAAGGAATATTTTTGGTAAAAATTGGTGAAGTACTTGTCAATATAATAATAATAAACCTATAGACATTTGTTCAGTGAGTGGTGAGAAAGTAGTTTCGAACAAGTTTTGAAGGTGATCAAGATGGAATAACTAACAGTACATTTTTCGCGGTGACGCCATATATACGTATGGCTGCAGACAGATTAGATGTGAGATCGAGCGCTATATAATCTTCTTGTATGATTGTAGAAAAAATGTTAGTAGCCGCTGTGTTCTGTTGTTTATGACTTGATGTTTCGTTCCCTGCTGTTCACACAATATAGTTGAGATATCTGCATAACATTTTGCCGATTTACTATCGCTCAACTAATCAATGATCTTATAATTAAATAAATGATGATCTTATAATTAAATAAATGCAACCTATCAGTAAATACAGTACACAGGACGAAAAACAAATTAGTGCTTTTCTATTCTTGTTTTCAACACTCATTTCCTGGACCATCTTGTTCTGTTATTGTTGCTGAAAGTAGGAGTTCATTATCACAGAGCAAATTTATGATATGTATTCGTCTCTAATTAAATTTAATCTCTTACTTGAAATATATATATGCCATTTTCAATCTAATCTGAATTATTTCCTATAATTCAAAATTTCCAAACAACTTTTTAACCTTCTTTCTCCTTTAAGAGCAATAATTGTTGTCCTCAACAAGTCAAATCTTATTATTTTCCTGAAAAGTACCATTGCCTCACTGTATCTTTGGCCTGATTTTCTAGACATTCTATCAGCTAACCTTTTTGAAAAAAGTATTTGCTTCTCTTCCCATTCCACCTGTTCTTGATTTAAAGGACTATTGGTGTAAATGTTCCATATTCTACTTCAACAATATTTTTGTTGTCCATGTTTTTCTTCTGTCTCTCATGGCTAGTGTACATACTCATCAGAAATCCAAGAGCTTTATTGGAAGGAGCTTGAGCATGAAATACTCTTATATCTAAAAATGCCCTTTCCAATGGGTTTCATACACTCCTAGCACTAACATCTAATCTAGCTCCATCTGCTTTGTTGGCCCCTGCGGCCTGCAGGAAGTTCTCTCCCATTGACAGGAATAAGGAGAGGTTCAGTAGTAACATCTTTACAGCCAGCAGTTTCTGAGAGCTCTGCTAACACATCTCTCAATGAATTGTGGCGAAGAGATACATATCCACCCCTTTTGCACATTAGTGAGTGGTTTATTGAGTTGTCACTTCCACATACACATTTTCTTGCAGCATCTTTTATTCCAAAGTTGTACCTAAGGGCTAGGGCGTCATTGAATTCTTGCTTGTTGAGACAGAATCCAAATGATTTGATTTATTCACTATAATTCTGAATTATATATTTTGATCTAATCATCACCCCAAGAAGCTGACATGTTTATGGATCCAGAATTTGCTAAAAAAGCTCTCCGAGATCATCCCAAAATTATTCTATGTTCTAAATTAAAGATGCCCTTAAATGAAGGTTTGTTTAGTATTTATTTATAGGACTTTATTGGATCTTAAACATTTATACAAGTTTTTCACATTATCTTGACTGGTAATATTATAGATAAGCACATATAAAATAATACAAAATTTCAGCCTGGATTCTGGAACGAAATGAATGAAGTAGCACGAAATGAATGAAGAAGAACTATTTAGGTAAATATAACTGTGCTAAATATGTCATGAGGGTTTGTAGATGTTTAATAACCATGCTTCACATTTGGACAATCTCTCAATTAAACTAAAAATTCAAGTTATAACAATGATTGATGTAAATTAGGACCCTAATTATTAGGACCCTAATTATTAGTGGCACTAGGACCCTAATTATTAGTGGCACTAATATGACTTTGAATTCCATGGCACTTAAGACAGTGAACGTGAAATGACTAATAACGAGAAAGTGTAGCAAAGCAATGCCTTAAATCTAAACTGCCTCTGTTAGGAAATCCTTAAGTTGATTAATATGTCATAAAATTTTGCTAATGCATTGCCAGTTTTTAGCATCTGACTGGCATCTTTAAAAACTGAATTTTGTGACTTTCCTGTTCAAAATTCAGAATATGTCTTAGAATCATTCAAATATTATATGGAATTTGGTTGAAGTACTTCAACTATGCCCAAAATGAGCATATCCACATAATTAAAAATTTCCTCCCAAACCCATTTTCAGACCCTTCTGTGGCCCGCTCGCAGCGGCTAAGTTTCTTTCCCAACAGGGGCGTGCACAAGATTTTTAAAAGGGGTGGGCGAGGAGTCGGCGCGAAGCGCCGGCTCCGAGACTACTGCGGCAGGGGCACAGTGGGGCAATCTAATAGGGCATTATGACTTTTGGGTTTTTTGCCTTTTTATGCCTCTGGCCACATCTTGGTGGTGTCAATTTGGGTTAAATCGTCAATTATGACTTATTTCAGTGAAATAGGACAACTTTCACTACTTTTTTGGGCAAAAAATCAATTTTTTTGAAAATTTGGCACTTTCTGTCACACAAAAAGCATCTTTTTGACTAGCAATTTTAAGATTTTATCCAATTTCAAGCGGTTTCTGTCCCATTTTTCTGCTTTTTCGTATGGAAATAGTCATCAATCATGCTGATGTGATTGTTTAATGGTATTTCAGAAAGGAGAACCAGAAAAACTATGCAATATAACCAAAACATAAGAAAAATCCTATGAAATCAGAGTTGCCCCTGGATTTTCCGAGCTCGAATTGCCAGATTTTGGCTATTTTTGGCTCATCCGCATTATTTTTCCATCCAAATATTACTTATTCCTATTGAACTTTGCTGGTATTAGCATAAAAGATCGAAGTGTGCCCCAAAAAGCTATGAAATAAATGAAAAAAAAATCAGTTTTTAGTCTATCAGTGAGCTTTTCAAGGCTGAGAAATAGCGTGAGGCTGGACCCAAAAAAATTTTTTTTTTCTTCTCCAAAAGTCTGAATTGTTCTGAAGCAAATCGATTATTTTGTGTTTATAGACATTCTGAGGTATCATTTAAAGTATAGTAGATATGGGGAATATAGAGGAATAACTTTTCCAGCAGCCTGACATCAGAGCAAATGACAATTTAACCTTCGAAATTTGGCAAATTTATCAACATTATCCCTAAAAATTCACAGAATCTCGATTTTTTGCCAAAAGAATCTCAATTTTGCTTAAATTGACTACCAACGAGCTTGACATTACTAGGAAAACTCATGTGGGACTATCCCAATAGTGTTAATTCAAAAATACGATGTTAAGATATCTTGCCTGGACATGCACATTCAGAATATTTTTCACTGCCAAATCTATAAATATCCCAGCGCCTGACTTTACAGGGCTGTAACTTTGCTCAGGAATGAGATAGAATCAAAAATCAAAAAGTTCTGAGCTCAGAAATAACCTGGCTAAATTAGATTAAACTAGTTTAAAGTGATTTTGGAGACATGACTTTTTTGCTAAATGTCAGCATGGAGCCCCACTGTGAGGGGCTCTGACAGCTTAAGCAAGTTCATCAAGATATTGTGTGTCCTAATTCAGCAAATTGTCATTTTGAAAGAATATTTTGAGCCTAAAATCTTTCAAAGAAATGACATCTTGCTGCTTATTTAATAATTGGCACAATGAAGTAGACGTCTGGCGACAACATTATGTTCCTCGAGGAAATTTGGTACATACTAATGATATGATGTTTTAAGTTAATTATAGCAGGTGATCACAACACAAATTTCATGTGATTTATCATTGGTAATCCTGGAACTGGAAAAAAAAGTCCCGCTCACATTGGGACTAGCGCCAAGTTTCTCGATGTAATCCGACTTATATTGTCCTAAATAACACTAATTACTCGGGTACACTTTTTAACCAGTAGGGAATTTCTCGGAATCACGCCCTTTTTGACCGCACCCATATCGTGACCCCCATTATAAATTATCTCGGATTCTGATCGAGATACAGACTTCAGAGATGAACACAAATGTGCCTAAGAGCATGTTTATATTAGTGCTACAAAGATACTTAAGGCTTAAGAGACTTTGTTTGTGAGATATCGCCAAAAATCCGATTTACTATAGCAGTCTCGCGAGTAACAATTATCACACTTATTTCAAGATATCTCAGAATCTGATTGGAGCTAAGCGCTCATCTTGGGTATTAAAATGGTCAAAATCATCATATTGAGTGGGGTAGAGCATGATTTTAAAGTCTACAGACTTCAGGTTGTTGAGTTATTAGGTCAGATCCCATTTTTATGCTCTCGCGAGTAGCGATTGATGCACTTATTCCAAGATATCTCAGCATCTGATTGGAGCTAAGCACTCATCTTGGGCATTAAAATGCATGAATGGTGAAAATCATCATATTGAGTGGGCTAGAGCATGATTTAAAAGTCTTCAGACTTCAGGTAGTTGAGTTATTAGGTCAGATCCCATTTTTACGCTATCGCAAGTAGCGATTGATCCAATTATTTCAAGATATCTCGAGGTTTTGCGATTTCTCACAAACTAAGTCTCTTAGGCCTTAAGTATCTTCATAGCACTTATAATAATATGAACATGCATCTAGATCTCTGGCACATTTTGGTTCATCGCTGAAAAGGGCGTGATTCCGAGAAATGCCCCACTGGTGAAAAAGTGTACCCGAGTCAATTGTGTTATTTAGGACAATATAAGTCTGATTACATCGAGAAACTTAGCGCCAGTCCCAATGTGAGCGGGACTTTTTCCAGTTCGAAGATTATGGATATATAATGGCACACAGTTCAACTAAATTGTGCCACACTAAACAAAAAAGGCACACCATTCCCTTTTACAATATTCTGAACTAGAAAGAGTTCCATTCAGCATTAATAATGAATAAGTGGGATAAGTCACTTTTTACTGATTTCCAGGACACACATGTTTAATTTTTCATAGTACCACTCATACTCTGTACTTCTGGTTGAGATACAGGAGGGGGGGTCCAACTATATTTTTGTACATGGCCACCAGATTTTTGCCAAATGTACATGTACAAAAATGTACAAAATATGTTTTTTCCTGTTCCGTTTCCAGGGATTTCCGATTTTTTGTACATTTTTTATGACCATTAATGTACATGACCATCAGATTTTTGCCAAATGTACGCTAAATTAGTGTACAAAAATGTAGTTGGACCCCCCCCTTCCCCTACAGGAATCAGATAAAATGTGCCTAAGATGCCCCACTGGTGAAAAATTGTACCCGAGTTAATAATGTTATTTTGGGTCTATGTTGTTCGTTGATCTAAAAACTGTGAGATTAAAAACTAATTGCTCTGTTTTGAGAGCACTGAGCAACTCAAAGAACAGCGCACTTCAACCCGAAATCTCCAAGAAACGAAGTGACGTCATCCGCCGACTCTCTTGGTTGATTTGTACAATCTAGTAGCTCCACAAAAATGTCTGATAAGCACATCAACAGACTAGGGTCAAATACAGATAAGAAAAATAAACATAGGTTAACCGTCCGATGCTAATTGCTGCTGTTATGTGATTGGTCGGATCTGAGTCATGTGACATAACTCATCGATTGCTATTGGCCGCTAGGATGGACCAAGAATCGGCCAGTCCCTATTATCTGCAGTTTTGATTATTATTTGAACGTTTTGCTTGCCTGCTGTGGATTTTCAGACCACCCAAGTAACACCTGTTAAATCACCTATGAAAGCTATTCGTATATTTCAGTATCTTTAGCTTTCAGAAAATCGGTGCAATTAGTTTTGTAATAACACTCCCTGGAATAAACCGGTGCAATTATGAAAATAATAAGTGGCCGTCAAATAGGTAAAAAGTGGGGTTATATTTAATATTTGAATTTTTTTAAACAGTGGTTTGTGGTCACAACTCGCAGCCCCCAGGAATTTGTTTACTGAATTAGTCGCTAAACCAATAGGATATCAGTACAGTTTATATCATGTTTAGTTTATTGATATCATATTCTACTAATTTTGAGAAGGTTCAAGACAGTTGATTAAACATTCAGTCCTATATAATATCCGTATTGGAACATAATTTATTCGTCGCATTTATAATGAATCTGGGGCAAAACTTTACAAATTTGTAGCGACAAATGTAAGCTATTTGGTTATAGTTCGTAATTTCCATGATTCTGGATCACAACTGCTGAATATTTTCACTTCATTCTAGGTACAAATCTATGGTCGCTCTTAAATGATTTTTTCCTCATTTTGTGCACCCGACTTTGAAAGAGGTAAAATCAGGAAAACAGTGTCGCTTAAAAAAACATGTCCATTAATTACATTTCTTACCAAGTTTTGATATAAATTGCTTAAACTTGAATTTATTTGTCGATTGAGAAATTGTCCCAAAGTTGATTTCGTAATAGGCTTTTAAATTCTCCAATTAACTTTAATTTGAATTATTATATCCGCAGGCTTTCAGAATAAACAAAACATGTTAGCGAAGATTGACTATGCCAAAATGAAGCACGAATCCAGCGTGTGGAAAACTCTCGCCGAAACTAAAGGAACTTTGAAGGAACAGTTATCCCATGCCTGGTAATTATTATAATTTATAAGCCAATTTAATCGATTTTCAATTCATCTTGTTGACCGTTTTGGGCTTATAAATCCGAGATTTTGGAAACATGAAAGCATGTGACAGAATTGTAGTCGCAATTATGCCTTCTCAGGGACACTTCATTTTTTGTTCATTTCATTCATTCCATGAATCAGGGAAATATTTCACAGGAGGCTTAAAATGTTGGTACTCATGCCATTGTATCATACCAGGGCAAATCCAACTAGTTCACGGACATATACAGCCAAAATTATGTTCCTAAATCTGTCATAAATGTTTCCACGATCTCGAATTTGATGGAAATCTTTCGTCCGTCGCGCGATCTTAATCGTTGGAAAAACCACACGATTCCTGGCATCTTTAGCACAAATTTTGCGCGCGCCGCACTTCACGCCATATTTTGTTAATATTTTTTCTCGCAGATTTCACGAATTCGACTGAGAAAGTTGAAATAGAACTGAAGCATACGGTATGAAGCATGGGAGAGGTCAGCATCTCACCGCCCTCCAGTGATTGGGACCAATGGATGGGGCTCACTGATGACCCACAAATTGTTGTAGACTCTCCTAAACTCTCCAGACGCTGAAGCCTTCTTTGCGGGGAAGAACATTAGCAGGGAGTCGTCTCCATTCACGAGGAGCAATACCCTTTGGTGGCCTGCAATACCCTTTTCGAATCTATTGCTAGTGACAGAGAGATCAAAATAGCGAAACACAGGACAGATACAATGAGTGCCTCAAGACGGAAGCGCTAGCAGACAAGGAAAGGTGATCAGGCTGCAGGACCAGCTGCTGGTGCAGAAGGACGAACAACTACAGTTGAATAGACAGTACAAACAGCGGTGGAGTCAGGGATTAAGAGCTACAGTGCAGCTGTTCAACAGAACAGTGCAAGTGGTACGGTCTGCTACAGTAAAATCCTGAAGAAGGTGATGAAGAGTGTGGCTGCAGAGGAGGACAGGAGCAAGAATCTGATAGTGTTTGGACTGAAAGAAGAGGATGAAGAACAGCTACCAGCTCTTGTAAACGCAGTATTGGACGAGATCGGGGAGAAACCTCATTTCGAAGCGACAAGAGTCGGCTGGAAGAGGCCAGGTACGGCCATCCTACCAGCCAAGATCACTGTCCCAAGCTCAACAGCAGTTCATCAGATTCTGATGAAAACAGGGAGACTGAGGCTGGCTGAGGCACACAAAGATGTATGGATTTGTATATCCAGTGAAGAGCGTGCAGCAAGGAAGAACCTGGTAACTGACCTGAAGAAGAAGAGAGCTGAACAAACTCATCTCGACCACTACATCTGGTACGGGAAGGTCTGTAGCCGGGTAAAGAAGCCACCATGACGTAATTCATGTCTATCGGACACCGATCAGTATATTATGTAGGAGTATCTTAAGAGTTTACGGACGTTATCTGTATTTGAGAGACAATTATATTATATGCATACATTATTATTTGATTGTTTCACACTTTTCACATTTCATCAATTTATTACTAGGTGGTAGTGATGTTATTGAGACTTTGGGCGGCCAAAAACTCCTGTTCTGCAAGTTGTCCTCTGTACTTTTCGCTGACCCACGCTTTTTAGCATTTATACATTTCGGCCTAGTGTGCACGAAAATTTATTTCAATCAATCAATGTTTGTTCGATTAACTGTTTACTAACTGCTATTTTGTAAAAGTTTCAAATCAAATCAAAATCAAATGTTCAGAAACACATATCACGTATTCAATATTTTAGCAATTTTTACCTCTTGCTCCCCCTCCGTAATCAACCGTTATCAAGACCCACCCCCTCCTGATAGCAAATTTACGTAATCATGGCATGAAATAATTGTTATCAGTGCAGTTATCCTCCTCGTTGGTAATACCATTTCGGGCAGTGACCAATGAAATAGTTCATCCATTGTCTCCTTCCATGAGACAGTGTGGACAACTTTTGGGGACCATTGTCGGTTTGAACTTAGGGGTCGTTAACATATTACGTAATCAATATTTTAGCAATTTTTACCCCCCTCCCCCCTTCCGTAATCAACCGTAATCAAGACCCAACCTCCCCCCCCCCCTTCTGACAGCAATATTACGTAATCATGGCCCGGCCCCCCCCCCCCCCCCCCCCTTTAGATTTTTCCTAGAGAACACTTTTCTCTACGTTTCATGCTACCCTGATCATGCTATCATGATGAGCTGAAATCATTGTTATGGTATCCGGCCAAGCACCTTCTAAACTACTCACTATTATAGCCGGATATTCGATCAATTTCTAAATTTTATCACTATCAGAGTGAAATTGAGTGGAATTTAAAATATCAAATTGCTATTATTCTAGAGGGTAAAAACAAAAACTTTGATTACGTAATCAACGACCGAACCCCTCGCCCCCCCCCCCCACCCCACCCCGTTCAACGATAAGCATTTGGAAACCCCCCTCGGCCGATTACGTAAAATGGTAGTTCTGCTTACAATGTCCAGTAAGGAAGAATTATGCCGCTGTTCTTGTGCTCATTTTTCCAAGTTTTGGGATTAATCTGGCGAACTTATGTCTCTACTCGTTCGAAGTGAGTGCTATTAATTACGTAATTATCAGCTAACTCCCCCCCCCCCCCCCCCCCCCCCCCCCCCCCCCCCCGTAATCATTTGGGAACCCTCTGCCGATTACGTAATATGTGAACGACCCCGAAGTATAATCTGAGATACTTTATTTTATGACATGCTATATTGTAATTTGTTTACATGTTTCAGTGTACATTTCTACTGTACTATTACGAAATTATTATTACTGTACTATTACGAAATTTAACGAACTTGCTGCTTGTCCATCAGAATTGTGACTTTTATTTTGTTGAAAATTTAGGTGGGCACGAAAACTGTTAGTTAGAATGTAAGTTCAGAGGAATTTTTCCCTTACAATCAAGCTACATGAATTGTTGTGAATACTAAGATCAAACTATCATTTTACAGGCTGGCGTCATCTTCATTGACACAAGCCCTATAAATTGTATAGTAAAAAGTTAATACAACCCAAAATTCCCTTAAAAATCTGAACACTCTTAAAACGTTCATTAAAAGTTAAAATGAGATGTTAGAGTATAACATATATAAGTAAGGGAAGGCCGAAAGGATTTATAATGTTAATTCCCAAAGGTTTTAAAATTAAAGTCTAGAGAAGTTAAATATATTCATGTTCACGGACTTCCAAAGTTTTGGGACTAGAATTATCAATGATCGACACAGAAATGTTCCCTTTGTCTATATATATAATAAGTATAACCACGATCCAATAAATGTAAGCAAAAACTATATTCATCACTTATTTATCGCCATTTAAAAGTTTATAATATTTGACCCTATGTTCTCCAGTCCTAATATATAATATAACCGGCCCGTATAATATAACCCGTAAAGAGCGAGTAGTGCGACCGACGTAAGCCTTTCCACAGACACTACATTGGGAAATAACAAATAAATGATGTTGTAACTCTATAAGCAGTAGAAGTTTCCACTTTCCAAGGGAAGCTTTAAGTTCACAACATTTGCATCGTGGCACATTGCATTCGCTGGTTCATGGTTGGGCCATGTTTAGCTCCTAAAGCAAGTAAAGTTCTTTCAATTTGACGAGGCGAGATTTTAACAACATAACTCGCAGGACTGCTGTATTTAGCACACGCGCGACTGTAATGATATGAAAAATGAGCCGTCCGCTCATGCCTATATATAGTCATCATGTCCATAGATACGTGAAGCGACGCGTATCCATAGATACGTGTAGTGACGCGCAAGTTATTCTATTATGAATTCATTTTGTTCGGCGCGCGGCGTAAGAATTTATTTTGACCATATAAATGTTCATAACTTTTTATGAGAACCTGTGCTGAGTTTTTTGAGAAGGGCGACATTCGATTGAGCATTTTTGCTATCCAATGGTATAAAATGTAGCACCAGCGCAATTATCGCTCAATAATCTTATTTCTACGCGCAGCTCTCAGCGGGTAGGATTGATTGACGATGTCAATCCGTCGAGATCGTTGCTCTGCGAAGCAGAGCAACGATCGTTGCGAAGCAAGAATTCGATGCGAAGCAAGAATGCTAGTTTGCGCGGCGCGTCGAAGCGGCGAAGTCCTCCAAAAATAGGATAATAAAACAAAATAATAAAAATAAAACAAAAGAGTAGACAGATAGATCAACACAAATATTTTTAGTAAATGTAATATGTACACCATCGTGCGATTATTTTGGATTGCCAAATATGAATCATGAAATAAAACATTAACAATTACATTTTATGAATTTGATTTATAGGTGCTTAGGTGAAAACTGGCCACGGGTCTAAATATTAAATATCAATCAATTACAATTCATTAACATTACCAATATTAAAAACTGTCCAAAATATCTAAGAAAGTATTCTGTAGCCAAAGGGCTCAATATTTAAATCTAAATCTTCAATATTGTCTGGTTTATATCGCAACTTGGGGCCTCTGTCCCCCCTTATCGAAATAACTGTTGTCTTTAATACCTCAAAGCGCAAGCGCTTTCTAAAATATGTAGCTGAGTCTGAATATCGCTGACCCGTGGCCGTTGGAGATTCCATCTTTTGTGCAAGCTTTTTAATCAAGCGTTGCGCTTCGACTCCCATGCCTCCTGTTGTGGAGAAAACTAAAGGTGTGAAGGAAGCTTTTTCCACTTCTAGGACCCTTGCATTATATTCTCTTTTCTTCTCAGTCTCGTGAGCCAAATACATCATAGGAATTGGTTTAGCTGCGTTGGTTGGAACATAGTTTTAAACTATTTTCACAACTACAATTAAATACATTTATTGAGGGATGGCAAGTAACAATGTACCCGAGAGGGTGTCGATACGAAAAAAACGTGGAGTCAAGACGAGTCCCCCTAAGGATTCATCTTCTGATAATGTCCCAGTGCCAGAGGAAAAATACTGCCAATGTGATGTTTACATGTCAGAAGAACTATCAGTTGAATGTGAAGCTTGCCAATTATTTTGGCACCTGAGTTGTGTTGGTTTATCTGGCCTTAAAAACGAGATGTTACTGAATCTAACAAACTGGAAGTGCCCATACTGTTTTGTGGCGCCTCATACCTCAGCTGACACTAAGGAAAACGGGGCTGTCAGGGCTATTATTAAAGAGGAACTCCAACATTTGACCCCAGCCCTGACTAACTCGATTAAGGAAGCTCTTAAAGGAAGCACAGATAAAACTGTCAACAAAGCTGTGCAACTTTACTCAGAAATTACAGCAAAATCTCAGAGGACAGTAATAGAAGATCTGAGCAACTCCCAGTCATCAGAAAATGTTATTGCTAAAGTGCAGTCCAAGATGCACACTGATGCATTTGAAAGGAACAGAAGGAAACATAACTTATGTGTTCTGAAGGTTCCTGAGAGTAAGGAGAAGAACCCTAAGCAGCGTCAGACGGATGATGTCTCTTTCTGCGTAGAAACACTCAAGATGAAGAAAGACGACATTGTTAGCTGCCATCGTGCTGGAAAAGTTGATCCAAACAACCATGACTACTGTCGACCTCTCATCATACAGACAGTCGGCGAAGAGTCAGTAAATTTTTACTCTGACTTTGGTAAAGGCTGGAAGGAATCGTCCTACTGGATCAATCAAGACCAGTGTAGATCAGACCGCGAGATTCATTTTTTAGCCAGAAAGGAGAGGAAGAAGAGACAGTTGGAAGCAGAGAAGAACAGGTTGGAAAAGACGAAAGGAGAATCAGTAAAGGCTTAAATATATTTTACACCAATGCTAATGGACTTTTTAATAAAATTGATGAACTTAAATGTATTTTACCAGTATATAAATCTATTGATGTGATTTGCATAACAGAAACTCATTTTAGTAGTGACATATTAGATGCTGAAATTTTTATTGAAGGTTTTACTATGTTTAGAAAGGATAGAGATTTTAAGATTGACAATTCAACCAATATTATAAGTGGGGGTGGTGGTTCTATCATTTATATCAAGAACAGTTGTAATGCTTCTTTAGTAAGCTCTTTTTTAAGTGCACCAGACTCTTTAGCTGTTAGTATTAACACATCTGGTGGATTGATTACTATTTGTTGTATTTATAGATCAACTTCTTTAAATTTAAAACAGAACAATAAATTATTATCTTGTATCAAGGGTATATGTAGTGAAAAGAACAATTCTGAAGCAATCCTTATAGGAGATTTTAATTTACCTACTGTATCATGGGTAAATGGAAGTGTAAATAATAATATCTTTAGTAGAAATCAATTTTTAACTATTCAACAGAAGTATATGGATATTTTTAATGACAGTGGTTTAACATGGTACTTTACCAACGAAACAACCAGAAGACGGCTTGTGAAAGATACTCTCCAGGAGAGCCTCCTTGATCAGGTCTTGTATACAAATGATGCTCTTGTCAACGGTTGTAAGATTGTTTCACCGCTTGGTAAGAGTGATCACGTTGGGATACTTGTCGAACTGGTTGTTTCGCCAAATACTGATAAGAGTCCTAAAGAGAAAACTGTAAAACCTATCTGGGGTAAGATTTCGTCTGATGAATTATTGAAGTTTAGTATGGATAACATTGACTGGGATTATAGTTCTACAAATTATAATGTTCAAGAAATGTGGACTGAACTACATGGTAAACTGGAGGCT